CAGCCCAGCCGCGGACGCCTCCGAGTTCCACCGAGACCGCGCCCGTCCTGCACAGGGTGGCCCCGGCCCTGCTCTTCTTAATGGCTGTTTCATGCATGTGGGTCTCATCTGTGCTCGCACGTGGTTAAATGGTGTCGCAGTATGTGTGTTCCCTGAGACTTGATGCCCTTCCTTGGTGCTAGGCTGCAGAGTGGCTGTCACATGGCACACGCTGCGCCGATGGATGGGCCCCTGGGGACAGCGGGACTTCATTCTTTTGCTCGCCAAGTACTCCTGTGCACCTGTTACATCGTGCCCGACGTAGGGCTGGGTGCTGGGAACGAATGCGCAGAGAGCTGGGCCGCCCAGCCTGTCGGCGGTCGGCCGGGTCCACGTGGGGCGGAGGGTACTTCACCGCACATATTCAGTCCCACTGGGCCCCAGGCCCGTCAGGCACGGTAGTGGCGGGCACACAGTAGGTGCCCCACAGGTGTCTGTTGAGCAGAACTAAATGCTTCTATTTGGGACAGGGAAGTACCATTACTTCCGTCTTACGACGGTGACGGCCGAGCCTGAGCCAGCGGCAGTGCGCCCTGACGGCACCCTGACGGCACCCTCGCTGGCTGGGGAGCCCGTGAGACGCCGGTGGCCAGGCCGGCCCGGCCCGGCACGCGCCCGTCCGCCGCTCAGGGGTTTCATGGCCGGCCCCACGGGGCCCTCACCAGCTGTCGCACCCTCCTCAGTCCTGGGAGACGCTGTGCTCGGAGGTGCCGCGTGAGCCTGGGTGAGGAGCACGCCCCAGCGCTTGACTTCCTCTTAGGTGTTTATTTTTAAAAGAGAAAACAACTTTTAGCAATGGGGCGGCAGCTGTTAGAGCGCCGGGGTCTGGGCCGGGCAGACCCTCCATGGCGATCCCTGGGGTCGCGGTCACTCCCACCTCTGATGAGGGCTGGGGCTTGCGCCCGGAGGCCTGTGCCCGGAGCCGAAGGATCGGCTGCTGTCACTGTCCGCCCCTCCCCGCCCCCCGTCTCTGATTCTCTCCTCCTTCCCACCTGAGGAGAGGGGAAGTGGCCCGGACCAAATACCGTGGTGCACGCACAGCCTGCAGGGGGCACGCTGGCCAGGTCACCTGTCTCTGAGGCTCTTCCCCCACCTGCCCGGTCCCCAGGGGGTGTCCCCACAGGAGGGCGAGCTGGTTCTGTGCCAGCTCCAGGGACAGAGCAGGAGACACCTCAGCCGCCGTCCCTGCCCTCGGGGAGCTGCCCTCGGGGCACCTCCAGCAGGGGGGGTCCCACCTTTTGGCGTCTCTGTGCCTCACTGGGAGAAGAGCTGCTTGGGCCACATGTTAATTATATTGCGACACATAATTACAAAAGAAATCTCATGTTTTAAGTAAATTTTCGGTTTTGTGTTGGCTGTGTTCACAGCCGTCCTGGGCTGCAGACGGCCCACAGGCCATGGGCTGGACCCCGCTGCTAGGGTACAGCGTCGCCCACACGGGGCACTGGTTTGGGGGCCAGGTCTCATCTGAGGGGCAGGGAGGAGAGCCTGGGGCCACGCCTCTCCCTCCCTCCCCTTCCCCCAGCCTGATGACCACAGAACTCCCAAGCACTCATCTGGATCTGTGCCGCAGAACCAGCTTTCCCTGGTACCGAACCAGCCCCGTGTCCTTGCTGGCCAAAGTCCTCAGCCGCCCGTCACGATCCCAAGGACAGAGGCCAGCCTCCTGAGTGTGGTGCCTTCTCCCTCTGACCCCTGCCCCTCTCCAGCCCTCACTCCTCCCAAGTGTGCTGGGAGCCCTACCACGCCGTGGGCGCTGCTCCAGGCCGGGAGGGGACAGATGTCTCTCCCTTGTGCCCCCAGCTCAGAGCTCAGGGCTCAGGGCCCAGGGCGCACACCACGCTGTTCCCTCTGCCCAGCCCGATGTGCCCTCTGGGCTTTTCTTCCCGGAAAGATACCTCTTCACCCTTTGTGGTTGGCTTCAGGGTTTTTTCCTCTTGCCTGAGCCCACCTCTGGGTCACTTCTGATTCCACGGCGACCTCTTCTTCCTTTCTTCCACTGAACATGCACTGATTAGGCTGGGGGCTCTGGGGCGCGGTGGGGGTGCATCTGTGTTTCACTCTTTGCGTTCCCGGCTATCATCACAGGACCAGGCATACAGTAGGCGCTCGATAAACACCCCGACAGAAATAAGCACGCTGAGGCGTGAGATGAGAGCTGGCTGGTTTGTCCAGCTAGTCACATCACGCCGGCCCGGCTCTGCTTTCTGCACACACAGGTCAGTGTACTTGGTCTCTCCAGCAGCCTGGGAGCAGGGCATCGCCCTGACCCCAGACAAGGAAGGGCGGCTCATGGAGGTGCTGTGTTCCCCAGGACTGCGCCCCCCAGTGCGGGGCCGAGCCATCCTCCTGGTTCCCAGTGTGGCACCTCTGTGCAGGGACAGGCGGCCAGAGGAGGGCACAGGGCAGCCACGTGCTCATGTGCTGTTATATAACCTCATCACCAGACCGTCTCTCCTTGACTTCAAGGGACAAAGAAAGGGACCCTGGTCTGGAGCGGAACATGGACCACTACACAGTCACGCTCTATTTTTGTTGTGGTTGCTGTGAGGGTTTTCCCCAGAGAAATAAGACCATTTCGCATCGCCCACTACGTCCTCAGTGCACCGGCGACATCTGTACGCTTATGTGCACACACAAATGCCACGTGGTGTCACATACTGCAAGAGGCTCTCGGGAATCCTGGGACGAGGGTGGGCAGGCGTTGTGCCTGTGCGCTAATCAGGTGGTGGGGTGGTTCCCCCCGAAAGGGAAAGAATAGCCGTTTGTCCAGTCACCTGTTGAAAGACACTGGGGTTCTTGGACCTTTTGGGTGTTGTGACGAATGTGAGGAGCAGAATCTGTGACCTCAAACTAGGCCCCCTGGGCCTGTGGTTCACTTGGAGCTGAAGGCAATGAAGACCCTGCAGACTCAGGGAAACCTTCACCTCTCCCTTAGCTGCCTAAAAGAATTTCGGCAGGAGGCCTGGCCCAGAGAGAGCTAGTCCCAGAAACAACTTCCCTGAAGGGCCTACCTGCTGGGCAGGGCAAACATCTGCGGTCCTTGCCCTCCTCCCCTCGGAAGCCCAGCCCCTGTCCCGGCCCCCAGCCCGGGATGGCGCATGCGCCTCAACCGCCGGGCGTGTCCCCGGCTCTCCTGGTCTCGGGGGCCCCACGCCACAAGTCATCACACTTGGTTTTCTCCTGCTAACCTGTCTTATGTTAATTTGCATGAAAAAGTGGTCCTGCCTGACACGGGTTACCCCCATTTCTGCCTCCCATCCCATGAGCACTTTCTCGGGGCGGGAACCCTTTCTGCAGGCACACCGGGGGCCCCCTGCGCAGGGACGCTGGGGACTTGCTAAAAAGCAGAGTTGAGGAGCAGGGAGCCAGCTCCATGGAGCTCACCAGGCCCTGTCTGGTATAAAGGACCGGACAGTGAGGCCTAGAAACGGACTGACTCGCTCTCCCCTCCAAGCTGGACCTCCCCTGCTTCCTTAAACCTTCCTGCCGCTCCGAGGAAGAGACCCGGCACCGGCTCCTGCTCCAGCCCGGGTCCCCACCCCCACCGCTGCCAGCTGTTTGCCTCCCTGGATCCTGACCCCCTGAGCAGTGCTCCATCCACAGGAGGCCAAGGGTGAGGACGGGCGGCGTGCGGAGCTTGAACCGCATGGGAGCCTGCAAGCCCCAGGCTTGGCTGCTCTCCTGGGAGACCTCGTGCCTCTGGCTGGAAGCTTCTAGCCTCTCTGCTGGCCACTGGGGATTCCCAGACCTGACTGAGCACCACAATGACTCACGATGGTTGGGGGACTTAGTATCAAGTGAAACACAAGTCCCGTGTGAGTCAGGCTGTGGGTCGCACCAGCTGGAAGGAATGCGGGATCTCTCCCCTCCAGGTCCAGCCGCCCCACCTCCACCCTGTGATTCCCGCCCTGCCTTGCAGTTATTGTTTCTTTTGCGCTTAGGCGGATGGCAGACGTTTGAAGTCACTATGAAGCATTGCCGGTTTTAAAAATCATAGACGATTAGGACTGGAAAAGTTCCTTTGGAGTAATTTTCCTTTCGGTTTTATAGCAGATGCATATGCTAGGGTCCAGCTGGGGCTGGGATCTGCCCAAGGTCCGCTGGCGCGCGGGCTGCTTCCCGTTGTGTCCAATGACCAGGCACCAAAGCCTGGCTCCGAGTATGCAGGTAGCCCCCTTCACCGGGCCCCGACTGGAGCTGGGAGAGGCCCGCGGTCCGCAGAGATCTGGCCAGGCAAGAGCTCTGGCCGGCCCCAGACCCTCCTCAGTCCTGTGTTCGCAGGGGTCCATTTTAGTGGCGCCCACCCTGCCCCGTTTCCTGATGAATTTTACTAAGCCTCTTATTGGACATGGCCAGCCCTGGGTTAACCGGTCTGAGTTACTAACCAGGAATGGATCTTTCCACCCCCTTCCGTCGCTGGTCCTTCCGGCTGCTCACACCCGGCCAACTCCTAGGCCCCGAGGGCCAGAGGGCTTCCTGGAGGCGGCGGGGGCTGGGGGGATTTGGCGGGCGCGCCAGGTCTTAGTCCCTCCGCGTCCTCCAGGTGGGCCCGGGGTCTTGCTGCAGCAAGGGGCGCTTCCGCCCTCCTCCCGCGGGGCTGGGTGCCGTCACCGGTCACCTGGAGACCCCGCCCATCCCTTCTTTGTCTCCTCGGGGAGGGGGCCGCGCACGTAGACGCCCCGAACGCCTGGACTCGCCAGTCCGGTTCGGAAATGACTTCCTCGCTCAAGGGCCCCGCCCCCTCCACCCGGCCCCTCTCGGGCTCTCCAGGCTCCGCCCCCTCCAACGGGCCCGACTCCTGGTCTCCAGGCCCCGCCCTCTCCACCCGGCCCCACTCCCGCTCTCCAGACCCCGCCCCCGATCAGACCCCGCCCCCGATCAGGGCCCGCCCCGCGAAGGGCGCTCCGGCGGATCCGGCCGGCTGAAGGTAGTGCGCGCCGGCCAGGGGGCGGCGCTGCCGGGCGCGGGGTCGAGGTCGGGGTCCGGGCGGCCAGAGACGCCCGAGCCGGGTGCACCCAGTGGGCCGCGGAGCAGCCATGGCGGAGACGGCGTCGCAGCACCTGGTGCTGCCCTCGGGGCTGTTGGAGCTGTGCGCGCTGCTGGGGCCCTCCAGGGACAGCCTCCGCGGCCTGGAGCTGGTAAGAACCCCGCGGGGAAACCGAGGCGGGTGATGGTCGGAGAGCGGGGTCAGTGCCCGGAGGACCTCCGCACCCCTGCTCCGTACCAGCGGCGCCCCCAGCCGGGGACCCAGCATCCCTGCGGGGTGCGGACAGCGAGCCTGAGGTCCGGACAGGCCTGGCTGCCCCCAGCCTGCCCGGTGCCAAGGCGGCAGTTGTTCTCCCCAGAGGTGGAGTCGCGGGTGGCTGGCTCTGGGGGCTCCCCCGGGGCTCTCCCAGCCCCCAGCACCCCACGGGGTGGGGACCCGCTGGAGCTGCTCCAGAGTTTACAGGGAGAGAGAGCGCTGACGTCCGTCCCGCGCCGCGTTCTTCGGGGAAGGGCCTCGCCTCCCGGCTGCCGTCTTAAAGACTGTGTTAAGGACGCCCACCTGGGCGAGGGCGAGGTGGGCGAGGCAAACGCGGCCCCCCGTGCGCCGGGCCCTTGCCTGTTACCCATTAAGGAACTTAATTCGTTGCACAGGTTCCCTGTTCACCGTGTAATGAGATGTTTTAGACTTAAGGGCCACTTTTAAATATCCTGCACTTAGTGGTTTTGCGATGAAACTTCTTTTTCTCCTGTACAGTAGAGGCTGCCCCCCCCCCCCCCCCCCCCCGCACCTGGCCCCCTTTTCTTCATCTTTACACTCCATCAGCCAAAGTGCTAAACTCAAGTGCCCTTTCCTGGGAAAGCAGCAGTTTCGGACATTCTCGTTCTCCTTGTTTCTTTCCTGTGATCTCGCTTTTTCTCAGCTTTGGAACGTGGCTTTCTTTTGAACAGGTCTTCGCCGTCTGTTTCTCTGGCCGAGGCTGACCGTGACACTCACTTTTCTCTGGTTAGAGGTGATGACTAGTGTGGCCAGAGACTCCCCGGCTTTTCTGCCCGGATATCTGTGCAAGTCAGTGAAAGGCAGAGCGGCATTTGTGTATTTAACTCTGCAGGGTTGAATGGGCGTCACCAAGAGAAGCTAAATGCTGCTAAAAATAACTGGATACATGTCTGTGAATGCTTCTCTCCTCTGCACTCCTCAGTCAGTTTCGATGCTGTCTGTCTGCCTTTCCCTCCTCTTTCTCACTCCCTGAATCCCCCAAATACCGGTGCCCCTGACCGGTGGAGTCATCGTGCTGCCTCTAACTTGCCAAATGGCTGTTCCTCCTTGTTCTGGTAGGAGATGGCCTGGTTTCAACTGTGGTCTTCCCCGCCGCTGGGCTCCTTGCTCTCGGGCAGTTACAACACATCGGTTCCTGGCCTCCGGATGAGACGTGCTTTGAGAGCAGGGGGCGGGCCACTGGAATCTTTCCTGTGCTGCTTCCTGAGCCACACAGCTGCGCCGCCGGCTCCCAGGACAGGGGTGCGGTGGGGTGCGGTCTGCGACCCTGCCCTCTCCCTTTCATCCTCTGCGCCGTACCTGGCTTCTGTGGCTTCTGTGGCTTCTGTGGCTTCTGTTCAGGGTTCCGCGAAGGGCGGGGAGGAAAATCGTAGAAGGAGCAGGAAGAGAGGGGTGTGAGGACACCGGTTCCACTTCCCGCATTGGCCCTGCTTCTAAGGCCCCCATTCACGTTAAAATGAACCAAACCGATATCTTTGTTTATGTAGTTTTATTTTTTAAAGCAGTTCTATTTTGAACATCCAAGCCTTTTCATCTTGCTTTGGAAGTCACCATGTCTCTGTGATGCAGGCGTTTCTGTGTGGTGAGCCTAGAGATTCGAGAGCTGTGGAGCTTAATCTCAGGATAGCGTCGTAGCCGAACCCTTGGGTTTGCTTATTTCTTAGAAGAGGTGGTGTGTGTTTTGTTGAGGACAGTGACAGAATTGGAGGATGCAGTTCCATTCCCATGTGAGGGATGTGGTTGGCGACCGTTTCCGCCACTGCTTCGTTGCCGTGGAGACCAGGCGAGGGGCGTGAAGGACCGGCACAGATGCATCCCACGGTGCTCAGAGACCCTCGCCCCATAGGTCACTAGTGTAGTTCTCGGCGTGAAGGCCCATTTGCAGTGCTCAGTGGGGAGCATCCTTCCCGTTCCGGAGCAGCCCTGGCCAACAGAACTTCCTGGGTCTGGGTCTGGGTCTGGGTCCGGGTCCGGGTCTGGGTGAGGACCACTGGTGTTCTTTATCCGTGCTGTCCAACACGGCGGCTGCGGGTGCTTGATCTGTGGCTCATGCCACCGAGAACTGGGTTTTACATTTAACTTAAATCAAAGGAGCTGCCGCATGCCCCTGGCAGCGGTGTTGGATGGCAGTTCCAGCACATTAAGAAATTATTAATTCCTGTTCCGTGTCACAAACGCAGCGCATCCCATCGCGGAGGTCTGGGCCACCGTGCGGTCCAGCAGAAACCTGTGGCTCAAGTGAGTTAGGGTGTTGTGGTCTTCACTTGTTAGATTTTTTAAACTAAGACGATGTTTTCGGGGAAGGGGCTTACGAAATCCCTGTCTGCAAGAAAGGGGCAGGAAGTCACATGGGCAGAGTCTGCGTGAATGGACCTGCCCTCCCAGGGTGAGGGCCGCGGCCACGCGCGCTGGCAAGCCACGCCTAGACTCTCTGCGCTTTCAAACTGATTGTTGTTCAGGCGTGTGTGCACGCACAGGTACGGGTGTGTAGCGGGAAGACTCGGGAGCCACCCAGCTGTCCCTCGGTAGGGGGCTGGGCAGGCACATACACAATTGTCACAAGTGCCCAGGGCGAACAGGGAAGTCCGCCAGAGTGAGTGGTTAAGTGGAAAAAAACCCATGGCTACGGGAACGGGAACCATTTCAGTAGGATGGTTACGTTTATGAAAAGAGTGATCCGTATGCAGAAGTGGGAGGGACGTAGCCCAGGCTGTGCTGCGTGCGGTTGGGGGCAAGGCCTCGTTTTGTTAACGAGCCTGTATTGCCTGTCCAATCAGAAGAGGGAATGAGGGAAAAGATGTCCACTCTGAAAAAACCGGACGCATGCTGACCTGCCGAACGCCAGCGTGGCCGGACAGGGCCGTGGCCCTCTAGGTGACCACAGGTAAAAAGAGGGAGCGGCGGGAGGCTCTTGGCTTCAGCGTGGTGGCCGATGGCCCGGCCAGGGGAGCGTGCGCCTGCGGGGTCGCTGCGTGCCGCCGCGGGTGCGGATGCGGGGCCGCCGCGGAACCATCGCCTGCGCGAGATGTGGGGACACAGGGAAAACAGCACAGTCCCCGCCTCCCCCCGCCCGCAGCTCCGCCGGCGGCGTTTTCCCCACAGGGTCTCGGGAAGCTCTGGAATCGGTCCGGCAGCAACAAGTTTAGTCCTGACCCCGCTAAGAGATCCTTCAGGCGCTGCCGTTAGAAAAGGGGGAGAAAGGAGGGCCTGCGCTCCTCGCGCGCTTGGGGGTGGAGTGAGAAGAGGAGGTTCAAACCCACCTCGTACCAAGGGAAAGTGTCGAGGAACCCGGGCAAAATGCCCCCCTTCCACTGGCCCCCACGGGACATGTGTGTCCTCGCTGTCGCCTCACGGCTGCCCCCATCTTCCCAGGTCACGGGGACGGCCTGCTGGCCTGGCGGGCGTGGCGTTGGCAACGTGTTTGTGCGGGTTCGGGTGACACACAGAGCCCATCACTGCCCTGCCCCCCGACCCCAAGCCGCCTGAGAGGGCACGGGGGGACTTGGGGGACTGAAAGGAGCCGAGCACGCGCCCTGCGGCGTCTCCTGAGGACGCCCTGTGCCCCTGCAGTGGGGACAGAGCCTGTACTGAGCTCCGTCTGCCCTCGCAGGACCGGGCCTCCAGGCGCCTCCCCGGGTCCTTACCGCCACGAGCCGCTGCTGGGAGAGCTGTAGGGCACATCTGCCAACGTCACGCTTGTGGGTGCGAGGGCGCAGTGCACAGCAAGGGCTGGCAGCACCGTGTAACTCCTATTTCTGCCCGTTCCAGGCGGTCCAGAAGAGGGGAGTCCAGAACCTTCCGCCCCTCGATCCGGAGGTGCTGTCCGTGTTTGTGCCTCCGTTCATCGGCAAGGAGAGCAGCCCTGCGGCCGGGGGGAGCTGCGGGACTCTGAGCAAAACCAAGATGCGCTCCTTCAGGAAGAAGAGGGAGAAGGCCAAGGCGGAACCCTGCAGGGCCCCCCCGGGGCGTCCCCGGGGGCCGGACGTGGAAGACATTGGTGTCCCCAATGGCGTGGACCTGCTGGCCCTGCCCCAGCTGTGCTTCCCAGGTACCCTGTGCCCGGGGGCGGCCGAGCCGAGGGGCCACACCCGCGATCTGTGTCTGGGAGTCCTTGCCCTTGGCTACGTGTAGCCTGGGCGTGCTGGCCGCCCGCCGGCCCCAGCGTCCCGCCCTGGCACTGAGCTCTCTGGATTTTGGGCGTTTGAAAGCTGAAGGGCAGCTTGGGTCATCGGGCACAGTCCCCATTTTAGAAGATGGGCTTCACGTCGGCCTTCCCCAGGGGCCCGGCAGGCAGCTGTGCGACGGCAGAGCTGGCGCCGGCTGCACCACCCTGCTTCCTGGGTCCCTGGGGCCAGAGGCGCAGGTTGAGTTTTTTCCCCAGCACGGCTGGTTCTGCAAACAGCAGGCTAGTGTTTTGGGGCTTCTTGTTCTGCCTGGGCCTGGAGAACTGTGAAAACTCGGACAAAGGACCTGACATGGTGCTTGTCCGGTCACCTCCACGAGAAGTTGATGTGGCTTCTTGCTCTCAGGGATTGTGAACCAGGGATCGGCTTTTGCCCCAGGCCTCACAAAATCTTTCTCTTTCTGTTTCCAGGGGGCCTGAGCGTGGCCTCTGAGCCAAAGGAGGACTACGTCCACTTCCTGGTGCTGACCGACGTCTGTGGGAACAGGACGTACGGCGTAGTTGCGCAGTACCACCGGCCGCTGCACGTAGGTGACGCCCACGCCTTCCCTCTGACCCTGGCTCTAGGTGGGGTTGCGAGGGCCGTCCCATTTTACAGAGGGGACCACAGTGGCGCAGAGCGCGCAGGCGGCTCGCCTGAGGTCGCACGGCAGCCAGAGTTGACCTGGAGCCGACCGACTGGCGCGCTCGTGGAACGGGGGCGGGAGGGCCGTGGCGCGGCCGACTGTTCCCGGGGCGTCTCCCTTTACCTGGCTGTCGACCTTCCAAGGGCCTCGAGTTCCAAAAGTCCCAAACTGAAGCTGTCCTCATGCTCCCCCATCCCTACCCAAAACCCCCGAATAGCACCGCTTAGGGTCCAGATTGTGGGCCCCGAGTATTGTGCCACTTGGGAGCCGTGCCTTCTGGAACCTGCTGCTGCGCTGTGTCTCTGGCTGTGATCCCCGTCACAGGCCAGGTCCCTTCTGTTCGCTCTCCCTGTCCCTGACTCCCGCCCGGCTCCCGGGCACCCACGGTACTGTGCTCCTTCCGTGTTAGGCCAGGCCCGATGACCCCATCGTGTGTCCTGCTGTGCTCCCTGCGCCCTTGGCGTACCTTCTTCGTAAGCCCTGCACCTCTCCACAGTGAGCGCGCGGGGCGCCCGTTCTCCCTCCCGGACTTGGCTGTGAACCCGGCCGGAGCCTGGGTGGGGGCTTGGGGAGGGGAGGGCTCCGTCCAGCCCCTGCGACCCCCTTTCTGTCTGGAGACGCTGCACTACTGAGGACGCGCACCACGACCCGGCCGGCCGGGTTAACCTGCGGCCCCCACTCTCTCCCCAGGACGAGTACTGTTTCTACAACGGCAAACCTCACTGGGAGGCGTCCTGGGCGGCCACAAGCGCCACCGGCTGGTTCGTGCCCTTCGCCGTGTGCGTGATCTCCCGGTTCCCCTACTACAACGCGCTCAGGGACTGCCTATCCTGGTGAGCTGCTGCCGCCGCCGCCCTCCACCTGTGGGGCTGCCTCCGGACGCAATGGCCTGCGGGCGGGCGGGGGAGCATGTGGGAAAATCCTGAGTCTCATGGAAATGCCACCGTGGGGATGGCATAACCAGGTGGGGGAGACAAAGCAGACTGTTGGGAGTGAAATTGACACGGAAGCTTTCTTTTTCATGAGGTTTTAAAGAGACCTAAGTCAGGAACAACTCTTCTTCTGGCTGGCTGAGAAAATCAACGGGCTGCTCTTAGTCCCGATGAGTTTTGTTGACATGTTAAAAGCTACTGTTTTTGGTAGGGTTGTTAACTGACTTAATGCGGATGTTGCGTTGAAAACGGAGGATGGGGAGAATTCTTGAAAACTCGAGAAAGCATTGCATCGAGCCTGATGTGGACGCGGCCCTGTCCCGCCGGGGACATGGGCACTGCCACTGAGCTCTCTTCTTGGAACCTGGAGCGCTTCAGTGGCAGGCCGGGGGCAGGGCAGCGAGCCACAGCTCCCTGGAGTGGCAGGTCCCTTCTGCACCCCTGGAAAAGGACAGCCAGTCCCAGCCTCCCCCCTCAGCCATGGGGCCGGGCGGGCACCCTCACCGATCAGACGACCCCCGTTCCTGAGCTGACTCCAGCTCCTCGCGGCTCAGTTTTTCTGAACGTGACTGGTCTTTGGGCGGGTCTGGGCCTAGCTCGCGCTGACTGCCGCAGACGTAGCTTATTCTGGGGGACAGAGAGCTGGCCTGGTCGCAGTCAACGCGGGAGTGCATCGAGCTCAGGGATTGTGGAACGCGTGTCTGCCAGGGCATGGGCAGCGCTAGCGTGATAGATGAGGACACGCCCCTTTGCGCTTACTCACTCACCGTCCTCGGGGCTGGACGGCGAATAGCCATTCAGTCTTCAGAGTCCCCTTCTGCACAGTGGGGGTTGTTTTCCTGCCTTTGTGAGCTGAACCGGATGGGAGAGGGCCAACAGCGTCCTCTGAACAGAAGGGGGTCCGAAGGGCCCCCCCGTCCCCATCCTCGCTGTGCGCACTTGGTCCGCAGGGGCCTTTTCCAGCGTGGCTTCCCTTGAGAGGCTGCTCGCTCCGTCTTGAGACGTGACCCTAGAGGGAGGCAGGGACCCAGCAGCGCGCCCCAAACGGGGCACATGTGTGCGCCCAGCGCCCAGGCCAAGGGATGGGACGTGGCCCGGCCCCTCCCCACCAAAAAAGCCCCAAACGCTGCCCCTGCCTCCTGTAGGGGACGCCCCTCGCCCCCCGTGAAAGTCCTAGAACTGCTGACGACCCCACTGAGACTTCTGCTTCGATGCCAAATGCTGAGGGTGACAACTGGATTCTCAAGTTTACTTTGTGATACAACTTTCTTCTTTCTCGTTGCAGTTTGTTGACTCATCTGAAGCTCTGTAAACATTTTGAAGTTGACAATCACATAAAAGATTTTGCTGCCAAACTGTCTTTAATACCGAGCCCTCCCCCCGGACCGCTCCATTTGGTAATTACGTTTTCTCTTTGCCAGTCGGAGAAGGAACACAGCACAGATGGAGGAAGTGTTTTAAGAGGGTCCTTAAGTGCTGGCTGCACTGAGACGTGGCTTCTCACGCTCCTTACAAGCCTTTTCTATGCTATTTCTAAAAGTCAAAAACTAAGAAGAGAAATTTCCTAAAACTTTAGAAGTGAGATTTTGCCGAGGCTGGTGGGCTGGAGTTTTACTGAGTGGTCGGGGTCACTAGGCATTGAGCTAGTAATTGGCCCCTTTGGCAGTTAACGCATTGGTTCATTACTTGCTGTGCAGAAAACACATGGTATTTACTTAAAGTACAAATTTCCCTTTTGTTTGTCTGGAGTATTGGGTATTTTATTTCGCTTGTTAATGTTTTCTCCTGTCTAACGTAATTAACGATAAGTAATTGGTGCGTGTGTGTGTGTGTGTATTTTTTGGCTGTTCACAATGCCTCTGTGTTATTCAGTTAATAGACACCCATTTCCTAGACAGGGTTCCGCGGAACATGGGTTCCAAGATGTTCTCGGCCGTTTTGCAACAGGAGAACTTTGGGGTTGAGGTAGGGGTGTGTCTGAGATGGCAGACCCCGCTCGCTTTTGTTGAGTGACAGGTCAGACTGCTGAGCCAGGTGCTGAAGCCTAATTTTTTTTTTTAATTTTTAAAAATTGATTTGAGAGAGAGACATGGATTTGCGGTTCCATGCACTCGTGTGTTCACGGGTCGCTTCTCGTCTGTGCCCTGATGGGGGATTGAACCCCCAGCCGTGGTGCGTGGGGGTCGATGCTCCCATCAGCTGAGCGGCTCGGCCAGGGCTGGTGATGAACCCTGTTTGAGTCGGCGTTTTTCAGACTCATGGCACCATCAGGTGCTTCCTTTTAAAAAACAGTACACAGATAACAGGACACCTATTAAATAAACATCCAGGAATGTAATGTAAATACAGACTCGGTTTCACTCTCTCTGTCGCTTCCAGAAGATTAAACCAAGTAGACCTTGGTTCTTGACGCTTTGATTATTGGCAGTTGAGACTGTGTTTTGTTTATCAGGAGGTGTGGGAGGGCCGCTCCCAGAAACCTCTGCAGGGAGCCTTTACTGGGGCGTGTCTCGAGCAAGGCGCTCTCTACTATGTGGGTGACTGGCGTTTTTTAATGGGGCAGTGAAGTCACCAAAGGCCACTTTCTTGTCCTGTAACCGCCACAGGCTGTCACGGAGGACCTGCTGCGGCAGCGAGCACCCTGCCCCCCATTGATTTCCTCTCTGTTCTGGCCCCCAGTCCCTGGCTGCCACTTGGGTCATCGTCTGCTCACCTGCAGGCTCCAGGGGCGGGCGGGCACCTGAATTCCCTTGGGGCTGACGCTGTGGGGGCGGGGAACCAGCAGCCCTGGCCGCTCCTTGGCCAGCCGGGGAGCCCCGCGTGGAGGGGGCCACAGCTTCCTCTGGCGCCCAGCACGTCCTTTGCCACGACGCACAGGCACCCTTGAGACAGAATTTGAAGTGTTATTTGAAAATCTTATCTAGAAAAATAAAGTATCGTTCTTAGCATTTTTTGAATTACATGCCTTTAAGGAACTTTGACTCTTAAATACTTAGTGAACAACCCGTGCTATGTAGTAACTATGACTAGGGACCTACACAGGCTAAGAGTCATTTGAATGGGCTCGATTTAGAACTGGTGTTTGTGGGGATGGATGTCTGGGTGGCGGTTTATCTGTGTTTTGCTAATAATTAAAGAGCTGAGGACGCTGGGCTGAGAAAAGGCTGCAGGGCTCAGTTGACGGGTGGCCCGCGACCGCCAGTCCTGAGCCCTAGGCTCACTCTGTGCAGACCGGACGGCGAGAGCCCCAGCCGTCAGGAACGGTCCCTGCCTCGGGGCCTTCTGAGCCCGCACCGTCGTGCCTTTCCCCCGCCGCCGGGAGCAGCCCTCTGAACTCACTGGGGAAATTGGTCTTTGCAGATATTTAACATGAAGCCACTACAGGTTGTGTTCCCCTCGCGAGCAGACCCCGAGAGCCCAGTCATTGACCTGGACCTTCACCTGCCCCTGCTGTGCTTCCGGCCCGAGAAGGTGCTACAGGTGCGCCTCCTTCCGCTCCCGAGGGCCTCCCGCTCAGCGGCTCCGTGGGCCTCAGCGCTGCCGCCGCAGCAACGATGCGTCAAACGCAGCGTCTTCCACACGCACAGATCAGTGCCCTCGGAATGTTAATTTTTTTGTTTAAAACCAACATTCACTATGGTGCATGCTATCTGCAAATTGCACTTCTTTGCGGGGGGTGGGGGCGGGTATCCAAGTAGCCCTTGCTTTGGCAGGTGCCGCAGGGAAACATGGGTAGACACTGCACCCCGCGTTCTGGCTTTAGGGGGGTGTGTTTGTGGGCGCCATAAGTGGGCCGTGCCCGGTCGGACACGCAGCCGCGGTCTGTCCCCCAGATCCTGGCGTGCCTCCTGACAGAGCGGCGGGTCGTCGTCTTCTCGGCCAGCTGGGCCCTGCTGACGCTGGTGGCCGAGTGCTTCCTGGTCTACCTGCACCCCCTGCAGTGGCAGCACACGTTCGTGCCCATCCTGTCGGGGCAGATGCTGGACTTCCTCATGGCTCCCACGTCCTTCCTCATGGGCTGCCACCTCAGCCACTTCGAAGAAGTCAGCAAGGTCAGGTACCGGCCGCTGGACCCAGACCCCTAAATTCTTGTGCGCCCGTGGCGGGGACGGGCGGGAAGTGCCCGAGGAGGTGCCCAAGGCAAGGGCTGCACACATGGGCCATGGAGAGCTCACGCCTCGACCTCCGGGAGCACCTTGTGCCCGGAGCCACGCACCCAGGGCCCTCGCTCTGTCCCCCTGTGGCGTGGGCCCCAGGGTGCGTTCACGGTTCCGGTGCGCCGAGCACCCTGCGGGGCTTCACCCACTCGCAGCCAGAGCAGCCAGAACGGCTTCCCAGAGGTCCTCTGTGAGGCGCGGGCAGGCGCTGGGTCACCGGTCCCCGATTTCAGGGGCAGCCCCCGCTGCTTGCTTGCTCGTTGTGTGGTGTCAAGTGAGGTGTGGCGAACCGCGTCACGCCCCCGCCGGCAGCCCGGCGTGCCGCGGCCTCCCCGGACCCTCGCCAGCACTGGTCCTGTCCACCACATGGAGCTGAGCTGCCCGGGGGGGTGGGGAGTGGGTCTCGAGGGGGAGCTGATGCTCGTTGCCGCGTGAGCCCTGGCGCCGCGCGCCTCGCCTTTCCCGGTGCCAACCGGCAGCTGCTGTAGGACGGGCTCTTGCCTGGAGATGCCCTGAGTGGGCACGGAAAGAGTGCAGGCTTGGGTGGCCCCGCCGCCTCTGATTCCTCTGAGCCAGTCCCGGGAAGGTGCCTCGCGCAGACTCTGGGGGAGGAGCCGGGCGTTGTGGGGCGCTTGCCAAAGCAGAGGTTCCCCAGGGGGCAAACACCCTCTAAGAAAAGGCCATTCAGACCTTCATGGAAGGAACGGAAAAACGTCACCCAGCCCGCCTGGCACAGGAGGAAAAAAATGGGCCATCCTGTGCCGTTTAAAAAGGCGTCTTTCATAGTCAAGGCGGGTAAAGGCTGTCTTGTGGCAGCCCCTTCGGATGAGAAACGCGTTGTCACGTTTACCCAATGGCTCCAGCCAGCAGTCCCGAAGGGGTCGCCCGTCCGGGGGATCTCAGGGCGGGCAGCGGGACCACACTGAGCGCGTTCGGGGCCTGGGGCTCTGTCGGTGGCGCCGGAGGGCGGACGCTGTCCTGCCGCTCGTCTGTGCCGTGACCGCCTGTGTCGGCGCTGACGCCTGCAGAGGCCCCGCTGGCCTCTGCTCCCTTAGTGCCCGTGGCTGCCCGGGGAGACGCCGCCTGCATACTTCATGCCAGGTGGGGCCCGGCGTGAGAGCCGGGAGCGGTGACCCGCAGAGAGGTCCCCCGTCACATGCCGGGGACTCTCGGGACCCTGGCGCGTGACTCATTGCTTGTGTATTTTGTCACAGATAAGACTTTACAAGTAAGCCGTGTCCGTATTTAAAAAACCGTAAGTGTGCGCGGCACCGAGCCCGGGGCCCCACCCACGCCCGGCACTGGAGGGGCAGCTCTCACTGGAGCTCTGGAATGTCCTCTCCCGGGTCTCTGAAGTGCCGCCTGCGTGTTCGCACCGGGGCGGGGGAGCCTGGCGTGCGCATTGGAATCCGGACTCAACGGCGGAGGCGCCGGCCCGTTGACGGACCCTGCGGCGTTGCCTGCACGTTCGGGGGAGACGGCTAAGGCCTGGGCCGTGTCACGTAGGGCCATTCGATGACGACAGCGTCTCAGCGAGTGCAAAGCGCGCTCTTCTCTTTTCAGAGATGCCTTTAGATTCTTATGTCGCCTCCACGCTCTTTTCACAGGAAGCCGATGGTTTAGTTCTGATCAACATCGACGCCGGGAGTGTCAGCTCCTCCAGCAGTGAGGAGGTGGACGTCCCCGACATCCCCCTCCTGGCGGCGCAGGTGTTCGTTCAGAGGTACAGCTGGGGGCCGTGCGTGTTGGGGGACCCCCCTGTCTGAGTTCTTGCCGCCGGCGTCGCTTGTCTTTTCCCAGCTCATGTTACTGCTAGAAGCTTTGTGTGTTCACAGTTCGGAAATTAGTCGTGAGTTTCTCTCGCTCCGCTCCGACTCCCTGCCCTGCTCCTGTGACCCGGGTTTCGGGGTGCATTTATCCACTTTCCTATTTATTCCCACGTGGATACAAGCCCCCCACAGCTGGCTTGGCATGTGTTTGCGCTGGTCCCACACAAGGTGGTACCCGGATTGGATCGCGGGCCTTCGGAGGTGTTGGTGGGACGGCCGCACGCCGAGGGGGCTCGTTGTGCGTATTCAAACCTGGGGAAGCCTTGGCTTCCCATGTCTGCAGGTGCCGCCGCGGGTGGCATTGGGGGCTGGGGGCTGGGGCCTGCCGGAGGCCAGCCCGAGGTTTAGGAGAGACAGCTGCCCTTGGGGACGCGGACGAGGCAGTGGCGGTTGGCACCTCTGAGCGTACCCAGGCGGGCGTGTGGTCCGCAGGGGGAGCGTGTGCTCTCCGGGCAGAGCGCAGGGACACGCTGACTCATCTCGGAGGACACGTGCCGCTCAAAGTCAGAGCTGCGCGTGTGGTGTGCTAATTAGCTGCCTCTGTGGGGCAGTGAATAAACCCCTCCAGGGTGTGTTTTCAGGGCCCGGCCCCCAGTTACTGAAGTGTGGTCCGAGCACTGGGCCTTTTCGGAGTGCCCTCTCGGCCCGGGAGGAGCGTCCGTGACCCCGTGCCTGCTGCCTTCCAGGGTTCAGAACCTCCAGCTGCACCGTGAGCTGGACTTGGCCCACCTGGGCGCCAGCACCGACCTGAACGATGGGCGTGCCCGCCGGCGGGCCTGGCAGCAGAGGCTCAACGGCCGGATCCAGCGGCTCACCTTGCAGCTTCTTGTCAGCATCTTCAGGTACTGCCCGCGCCCTGCCCGGCGGGGCGGCCAGTCCTCCCTCCGCCCCAGGGGCTCAGAGCAGAGCGTGCCGTGGGGGCCCCATGCCGTGGGAGTGTTTCAAAGTCCCCATTTTAATGGCCAGTGTCTTTTGACGTGTCTGTTTGCATAAAGCAAATTTTTCATTAGGAAGAAACGGTGGTGTTTCAGAGACAGGATGCGCTCGTCTCTTTGCTCAAAGTGGTGTAACCTAGTCGTGGAAACGCTTTCCTTTTGTTCTTTTCAGAGAAACTCTTTCCTGAACAAGGGTTTTTTTTTTTTCCTGTTTTTTCTTTTTTCTTTTTTTTTGACTTTAAAGGCCTGATGAGTTCATAAAGAAAGCAGAAAATGTGACGGCAGATAATAAGACCTTGCTCCCTCACAGTGAAGGAAACAACGATCCTATTATGTACTGACTCTCGATGTGACGTTACTCACTGTATTTGCAGTTTGTTACTTCAGATCTGGGGGATGGTTCGCCAAAGCCACCATGAACTTGCAGACGAGGAAATGGGGCCTGGGGGGGGCCACGGTTGGGGGGGGGGTCAGGCCGGTGGCCTCACTGGGCCAAGGCTCAGTCCGGCTGCCCTTCCTGGCTCACCAGCCGGAACTCGGTTCTGTGTGTACAAGCGATTACTGACCCTCGCACGTTCATTTTGGTACGGACCCGGGGGCTGACGGCGGCAGCTGCAGCCCCTCCCGACCGCCTTTCTGTTGGCGGGAAAGCTGTGCCCGAAACCTGACCCCACCGACCGCCCCCGCAGTCCGCACGGTCCTGCTGAGGAACAGGGCTTTTCAAAGTGTGCTCCTCGCCGTTTCTCTGCTTCTCGGAGTGACGCGTTTTCCACATACGTGAGAATGTTCCAACAGCTGGGCTGTCTCTGTCTTTGTCAGGGAGGTGAAGAACCACTTGAATTACGAGCACAGGGTGTTCAACAGCGAGGAGTTTCTCAAAACGCGCGCTCCCAGCGACCAGCGCTTCTACAAGCAGGTCAGACGAGTGGCCCGCCTCTGCCCGCAGGCCATGCTTTCCTGGTGAACGTGTGTTCAGCATCCGTCCGTCTCTCACGGTGCCAGCTTCCCCGAAAGCTTGTGCGCGGTTCCTGGCCATCCTTTGGTCGCGTCTCGGAGTATCATTTACACAGAACTAACGCGCCCATGTTAAGGGTCAAGTGTGATGAACTTTGACAATTGTGCCCCCTGAGGAGCCACCTCCTCAGTCTGGGTGGAGACCTTCCTGTGCTCCCAACAGTTCCCGTGCTCTCCTGTCCCCTTGGTCCCCGAGCGTCACCCCGCCTGTGCCCTGGCTCCTTCCTCTGTCCCCAGCAGTAGCCCAGGGTCAGGGCGAGGCCCTGTTTGTCCTCTGTTCCACCTGTTCACTGGCGTCTGGTTCGTTTCCATTCTTGTCTGTTACGAAAGGTAACGTTCCAGGGCTTTCCCAGGCAGTGCCGCCCCGTGCACAGCCTCTGCTTCTTTAGGGCCTGTTTCCACACTTTTAGGGGAGGCTGAGCCTCCGTCGTGACCCTCTCCTTGTGGGCCGGCTCCGTGACGGTCCCTTAGTGTCCTCTTCCAGCCTGTCCTTGTGCTCTGCAGCCGCCCCATCCTTCCGGCCTGGAGGCAGCTTCCGGCCTGCCCTTCTGCACGCCCTGCCCTCCCTCCGTCTTCCTGCAGGCGCCGCCACGCCCGGCTCCTTCCTCTCTGAACCCCAGCAGTGGGACGACCCCCGTTGCGGGGGCAGCGGGGGCTTGGGGCAGTGCTCCGGGGCTGAGGGAAGGCAGGCAGGGCAGCTGCTGTGAGGTGTGGCCGGGGAGAGCCACAGTCCCCAGGACATCCCAGAGCCTGTGACAAAACCCAGAGACCCCGGCTGTGCTGTCCTGGGGGCGAGCTTCCTGTGACTTTACAGGTGCACAGACCGGCCGGCTGGCGCATGCTGTGAGGAGCCGGCGGAGCACGTCGGGAGGTTGCGATAAACTAGGAAACAGCTGTATCTGGGGAGCCGCATCCATAGGAGCCGGTGTCAACCAGACGCCAGTGGGTCGGGGTGGGGCAGCAGGAAGGAGGCCAGGCCAGGCCGGCGCCGGGGGTCCCGGTCAGTCATCTCTGCCGTCTCTTCCAGGTCTTGGACACCTACATGTTCCATTCTTTCCTCAAAGCCCGGCTCAGCCGCAGGATGGACGCCTTCGCCCAGCTGGACCTCAGCACGCAGTCGGAGGAGGACAGGTGCTGTGGGGCCCGAGCCTTGCGTGGGCGGTGTCATTTGCACAGACACACGGCAGGCTCCCGCTCGCGGGTCGTGACAAGCTGGATGTTTCTATTCGGGGACATGCTGAGCGGCCGCACCGTGGCCCACCCCTGTGTTTGCCCCCCGGGTCTGTGTGCTGGCCGTTCCCTCCCGTCTTCCTTCTCTCCCCCGCCATTTTCGTGGGGCTTTACCGGATGGGCGGCCGCGGTGGGGGGCGGCCTCGCCGGTTCTGAGCGCTGCGGGCTCTCCCGGGGGCACGGTCCACCCTCCAGCCTGTCCGGCCTCTGGGGACGCGTGGACACACCGTGCCGCTCACCTTCCCGCTCACGTGCAAGGGCCGGACGCCGGCCCCCACCCCGGAGAGCGCGCGCTATCGAGGCTCGGACTCCGCTCGTTTTTGTGTCAGCGACGCGCTGCTTCCTCCTGCCCCAGGGTCAGCGGGACGCTTCTGAGTCCAAGGCGACCGACCGTCGAGAAAATGGCCTTGGGCAAACCGTGGTCGCAGCGCGCGGCTCACCGGCGCATGGTGGTCAGCATGCCCAACCTGCACGACGTCTCCGTCCCCGAACTGGTGCCCAGGAACGCGTCGCTCCACAGCAGCAGCGTCAGCAGCCCCAGCGGCCGCAGCAGCAGCAGCAGCTCAGGTGACGGTCGCTCCTCTCCCCGGGGCTGCGGGCTGTCCCGTCGCGGGTCGTGGAAAGAAACCGGAGCAGGATTCAGTGAAGGGGGCAGGCCTTTTTATTTGTTTTAAAAAAAACACTGTATTTGTACTATTTTTAGAATGTTCATTTTAGGAAACTGTTTCTTGTCTGTATGGTCTATCACCCAGTCTCACTGCGCCAGGCAACAGCTCTGCACGGTGTGCCTTTCACACGCACGTGCGTGTCTGTGTATAAAATACACGCTTCGTATGTCAGTCCAGTGGGACACGGTGACCTTCAGGCCCCCAGTGAGTGCCAAGCCCTTCCTGGTCCTGGGGTCCCCAGGACGCCAGCCCCTGCCCCGTGGCATTTATACCCGGGGCCGGCCCGAGGCCATGCAGCCCCATCCCTGTGTGAGGGGGCGGCCTGGCTGTGAGCCGCGGGGGCCCCCTGGTGGCCGCTGGCTTGGGCTGTGGCTCAGGCTCAGGCCCCAGCGGGTGCTTCCCAAGGACACGGCAGAGGCTGAGACAGGACGGCGGGGGCGGGCCCTCGCTGCCAGAGGGGTGCCCTCTAAACGAGGCAGCGGAGGCCGCGTGAGGGCCCTGCAGGGTGCTCGGAGTCCCCGCGTGGCGCACCCCCGCTCCTGGGCTGTGGGACCGGCAGGGCCTGTGGTTCCTCCTGTCCCCTCTGCCCTGGGCTCCCCGCCCCTCCCGGGCTTCAGGGTGAGTCCCTGCCCCCCGGGGAGAGCACCCACCTGCAGGGCCGGCCTGTGCGCCGCCCCTGGGAGCCCCTGGGAGGGCGGTACGCGGGCTGCCCGGGAGGCCCTTCGGCGGCCTATGCTGAGGGAATTGGTGTGAGGCGCAGGGCCGTGGGGTGGCTCTGGCACGTAGTGGCTGGTGCTGGGGCCGCGTGGAAGCCTCCGCCTGCACCCCTGTGAACGGGAACGACAGCGCCCGTCGCATGGAGCTGCCCTCAGGGAGCAGAACAGCGATTTCCCAGGGCGGAGCCCAGTCTGCGAGGCCGCCTGGGCTCCCAGTTACTGGCTTAACCCTCCCACAGACTCGCAGACTCACGAGTCAGTTCAGCATTGACAGTTTTCACGAATCATGTGATCCGGCGTCCTCAGGGCTCCGTGGGCGTCACGGGAGGGCCGCTTGCTCAGCTTGGGGTTCGTGGGACTTTCCGGAAGAGGCCACAGGCTCTTGCTCTACGGGGCAAGAGGCCGACATCTGACAGCGCGGTGGGGCCGGGGCATGTGCGCGTGCGGGGGCTGCGCTCACTGCCTGTTTCCTCCGCTGCCCTCTAGTCCCTAACGTGAGCCCCAGGCCGACGTACACGTTCAAGATCCCAGAGATCCACTTCCCCCTGGTGAGCCAGTGCGTGCAGGCCTACTACTGCGACTGCGTGGACCTGCTGAGCAAGGCCATGAACGGCCTGGCGCCCGACAGCTCCGTGCTGCTGGCCCGCTACTACTACCTGCGGGGGCTCGTCCACCTGATGCAGGGCCAGCTGCTGGACGCCCTGCTCGACTTCCAGAGCCTGTACAAGACGGACCTGCGGATCTTCCCCGGCGACCTGGTGAGGCGCGCTGTGCAGTCCATGGCGGGCCCCGTGCGCGCCCAGGCCGAGTGCATGCCTGAGCTGCGCAGGCTCATCAGCGAGGTCCTGGAGCCGCCGGGGGAGGCCCCCAAGGCCGACGACCGCGTCAAGCACTTTGAGCTGCCCAGCAAGCACATGGGGCCGGACGAGTTCGTGCGGAGGGTCCAGGAGTCGGGCATCGTGAGGGACGTCAACATCATAAACCGCTTGTTCGAGGCCCTGACCGTGGGTAAGAGGTGGCGCTTCAGTGGCGACCGGTGGCCGATGGGCGGAGGGTGGCCAGGCCTTCCGGGCAGCGGCCCCCGCACCGCTGTTCCCAACAGCGAACGCCACCCTGGCTGGTTTCTGACCGGCGCTCCTGGGGTGGGAGGGGTTGCGGGAAGTTTGACCGGGACGGACATCAGGGCCGCCACGTCCCGAGCGCTGGGGTTCCGCGTTGACCGCTCTCGTCTGGTTTGCTTAGCGCCCTTTCTGCCCGTCCCCGAAATGGGCTGCTGTCGCCAGCTCCAGCCTCTTATTTTTACCACATTTCTATGCATTTTCTGTCCATGGATGTATCTGAAACAGTCCATGGGTTTGTGCGTTTTTAGCTGCACATGAGTGGCCGCCATGAGCCCGTTGGCGCGGTTTTCGCCCTGTGCCCGGCCGGCAGGGGAGGTGGGGGGCGTCTGTAGCCGGTGGGCGTTCACCGTCGGCGGCATCCTGTGAGTATGCCCTTCTCCATTACTGACGGAGGGACACCACCCTGCCTGTCCCCACGTGTGCACCCAGGTGGCTTTCTCTAGGTCCTAGAGAAAGGGGTGTCTGCCTTTGGGCGTCTCTGGGCCACACTGGAAGAAGAGTTGTCTCAGGCCACACATTAAATACACAAATACTAACAAAGGCTTATGAGCAAAAAAAAACAACCAAACACAACACATTGTAAGTAAATCTATGATTGTGTGTCGGGCTGCATTCCCAGCCTCCTGGGCCGCGTGTGGCCTGCAGGCCGGGGGCTGGACACCGCTGCTCTGGGACTCAGCCAGGAAGCCCGGCCCGGGAAGCGGGGACCCGGCCTGGGTGGCGCTTCCTTGGTGCCGTCTGCCTGTCCGGTGACAGTGCGCGTGGGTCCCAGGGGACGGCTGCCCGTCGCTCGGGGCCACTCGGGGTCTGTCCCTGAGCTGCCTCTCTGTCGCCTTAACCCCTTTTTATGTGGGGCCACTCCTCTTTCCCTGCGCCGTGTGGCGGCTCCTCCGCGCCCGGTAGCAGGCCTGTAAGACGCCTTCCCTCCACAGACCACAGGCGTGACTGCCTCTCGTTCCTGCGGTGGCCTCGGGCCGGCGGCAGCGGGGGGCGTATCTGTGCGCCCGTGGCCGCCCTCCTCCCGGTGTGAGGATGACAGGGCGGCCGCTGCTTCTGCTCGCTGGTCCTGGGCAGGCCGCCCCGCGCTCCCAGGGGCTCCGCGCTCCGCAGACGCCGAGGGGAAGTGGCGCTGCCTGCGTTCGCAGAGACGCAGGCGGCTCGGGCCGTCGGGGCAGCCGGGGCGACAGACACCGCCCGGGACGCCCACCGGGCAGGGCGGCTGGGGACAGGCGCCGACAGACGCGAGGGCCGGTGCGCGAGGCTGCGTGGAGGACGCCAGGGCGCCTCCCCGAGCGGACCCTGCCGCTCCCCCAGGGCTTCCACGAGGACGTCCGTGTCCGGCCAGGTCTGCGGCGAAGCCTGGCGCTCGGCGGCCCGAGGCCCCCGGGGCTGCGCTCCCTCGTGACGGGTGGAGCCTGCAGGCGCTCCCCCCTCCCCCCCACCGTGTGGCTGTGCACCAGGCCCTTCCGCCCCTCCCGCCCGCACGGGCGGGCGCTGCAGGCCCTGTCCTCCCAGCAGGAAGAGGGCCTGTCCCGTAGCTGTTCCCTCGGGGGCTGCGGTGTGTCCTGGCTGCGGGGGAGCGGGGGAGCCGGGCGGCGTGGTTTTACGGCCGGACGGGAAGGCCCGCCGGGCAGTCCCAGACGTATGTTGGGAGACGCGGCGAGGACGCCCGGGAAGGTGTCCGCAGCGCGAGCCCTGGCGGCCGCACTGCCCGCAGCCCCGCTGTCCCCGTGGCTGTCGCTGTGGCTCTGTTCATGTTGCAGTGGGTCCGGGAACAGGCTCGCCTGGGAGGTGGGGCCACCCCAGTGTGGCACCCGATGGACGTTCTAGATCCATCTAGAAAAGCACCGTTAGTCAGAGAGCAATGTCACCATGTTGGAATGAACTGACCTGAATAAGGATTCACCTGAGAATTCAAAAAATGACCGTTGGTCACTGCGAGGCTCTGCAGACTGAGGGAGGGCGGTGCCGGGGGGGTTTGTCCCAAACAGCCCGTGCCTGTGCTGGGGTCTGACGGCAGATCTTAATTCCAATGGCATCAGCAGTTCTCCCCGGACCCTGTCCCCAGCCTGGGACAGCGCCCCCCTCCCGGGCTGCCCAGCCAGGCCAGCCTCAGCTGTGGCCCTGACAGCAAATTCCCCAGGCCGACGGTCACCCCCATTCGGCTGTGGGGCCCGGGTGGGGACGTGGCTGCAGAGCCAATCTGGGGACTGGGAGGACAGGGTCCTATCCTCGGGGCAGGGCGCCAGCAGGCAAGCCGGCCCAGGAACACAGGGCCCCGCCTCCCTGTGCCTCAGTCCCCGAGGCGTGAACTGAAGGGTGGGCAGCAGTTTCCTGGCGCGAGCCCTCTGGACGGCGAGTGCGGGGCCCGGGACAGCAGGCCCTGCCGGGACAGACTCCTGCGCTGGGCGCGGGCGTGTGGGGAGGAGCCGGGCCTGGTGCTGACGGGGGCCCTGGAGCCGTTGAACAGGGGGGCGGAGCCCCTGCCGGTGCCTTACAGAAGCCCTTCTGGAGGCCGAGAGGGGGCGGAGCCATCAAGGAACCACTTCCTGTGCCGCAGACAGGAGCTGCGTGGCAGGGCAGATGGGGACAAGCAGGGACAGATGCAGGGCCTAGGGCGGGCGTGTGCGGGGGTGGGGGCGTCCCACCTGTACAGGACAGGCAGGGAAGCAGGTGCGCTGCCGGCCAGGTCTGCAGCTGGGCAGGAGTGCCGGACACTGGCAAAGGTCACCACCTCAGTTAAGGTCTCTGGGTTACAAGTAATAAAAGGAATTTCTCTGTGCGTGTAACCAAAGGATGCTGACCGCTGCCTTCAGGCTCGGCTTGGCTCAGCACGTGGCGTGTCCCCACGGGCTGGGTCTCTTCAATGCCAGTGTCACCCGGGACTGGGTGCCCTCATGGCCCCAGGGTGGCTGCCACCCAAGCCAGATCTTTGCCACCCATGCCCTCGTCCCGGTGTTCCCACCTGATGTCCTCAGTTACCGTGACACTGGGCTTGGACCACATGTGACCCCATCGCTGGGTCAGGGGCTGCGTGCAGTGCCCGCCCTGTGCCCCTAGGGCTGCCAGGAAGGGAGGGGAGAACCCCGCCTCCCGCTTGGTGGGCAGGTGCTGGCGCCACCTTCTGCCCCGCTGGGGGAGTGCGCTACTTCCCAGCTGACGGCTGTCGCGCTGGCTGTAAGAAACCTCTTTTCTTCATAAAACGCAGGACAGCAGAAACTGATTGACCCGGAGACGTTCAAAGACTTCTACACCTGCTGGAAGGAGACAGAAGCGGAGGCACAAGAGGTCAGCCTGCCGGCGTCGGTGCTGGAGCACCTGGACAAGAACGAGTGCGTGTACAAGCTGTCCAGCTCCGTGAAGACGAGCCACGGCGTGGGCAAGATCGCCATGACCCAGAAGCGCCTCTTCCTCCTGACGGAGGGCAGGCCGGGCTACGTGGACATCTCCACCTTCAGGGACATGCAGGTGCGGGAGCCAGCGCCCCGCCCCCGCCCGCGCTGGCGCCGAGCGCACCTTTGCCCCGGGACCTCCTGCGGGGCTCGGCTTGCGCCTGACGTCTGTTGCACAAACCCGCACGAGCTGGGTGTGCCATTTCCGCTGACTGTTGGCGGACGCAGCGGGGACAGGGAGCCACGCCCCGTGGTGACCGCTGGGCCCGCAGCCCCATCTTGGGTTTCCCGTTAGCTTTTCCCTGTGCTGGCTTTGCCAGGCGACCCGCTAGAACCCAAGTCAGAAACACTGCAGGGGGCGAGAGGGCGAGCCACCTCCAAGTGTCGTGGACGGGTCCACGTGAACTGCCGGGGGCGACGCTGGGCCCTCACACAGCCGCCCCGACTCGATTTTGTCCGTTTCTGAGGCTGGGGGCACGCCACCACCCCATCCCCTCCTCTCCTCTCTGGGACCAGGGTCACTCAGCGCCTTCCCTGTCCTGCTGGGCCCCCACCCCCCGCCACCAGCCCAAAGGCTCAGTCGGGCCCCTGCCCTGCCCCTCCGGGTCTGCCCTCGCGTCGGGGCCCCGCCGAGCGCCCCCGCAGGACCCTGGCGAGCGTGCCGAGGACGGCAGCAGGGCTCAGAGGCCACCGCGCCTCCTTTCCGGCCTCCCGCGGCTGCCGCGGCCCTGGCGCCCCTGCTCACCTCCCCCCCCGCCCCGCTCCCCCAGGAAGTCCGCAGCACTACGGTCACCGTCCTGTTTCTCCGAGTGCCCACCCTAAAAGTCAAAACGGCATCCAGGAAGGAAGCCTTCGAAGCGAACCTCAAGTCGGAGCGCGACCTGTGGCACCTGATGGTGAAGGAGATGCGGGCGGGGAAGGAGCTGGCGGACGAGCACAAGGTGCCGGCGCGCGGCCGACGGGGTCCCGCGGGGTGGGGGCGGGTGCTCGAGGGCGCTCCTCTCCTCTGCCACAGGCTCAGGGCTGTGACGGGGGGCACATGGGCCCCCCACAGCGCCACGCCTAGAGCCAGGGTTGTCCATGCCTTCGCTTACTGTGGGCCAAGCTGACAACTTTCACTATGTCACGGTCCCGGGGGAGACTGGGGACCGCGATGAGAGATGGAGGACAAGGGGGAAACTGTGCTGTCGCCCTGGCAGGCGGGGCAGGAGCCCGTTGCAGAGCAGGCCAGAGCGGGAACAGAGCATGTGCATGGGGACGGGGGGTCACACAGCGCCCCCGACCGTCCGAGGTGCGGGCGCCAGCGTCAGGAAGCCCGTGTGCAGCAGGGGCTGGCGCTTGCGGTGGGACCTCCCCGTTGCAGGAGGGGGGTGCGCGAGCGCTTCTGTCTGGAGTGGGCAGGGGACAGCAAGTGTGTGGCCCCCGGACCTACGTGGGGACCGGCTGGCGCTTGGCAGAGACACTTTGCTGGCCCTGGGACAAACGGCCGGGGCGTCTTACCTCCGAATGGTGGTGAGGACGCAGCGCCAGGCCCAAATCCCAGCCCCTTGCGTTGCTCTGACGGGGCGGCCGCGGGTAACCTTGGCCGGCTCTGCCCCCGCAGGACCCGCAGTACGTCCAGCAGGCGCTGACGCACGCCCTGCTGATGGACGCCGTGGTGGGAGCGCTGCCGTTGCCCGGAGCCATTTACGCTGCCTCCAAGTTGTCCTACTTTGACAAGATGAAGAACGAAAGTAAGAGACGCGTCCTAAGTGCTTTAGACCCACATGATGTTTTCCCCCAGGATCCCAAATTTGTGCAGTTTTCTTTTATACGTTTCAATTTCTGTGGGTGTCACCGCCCTGCCCCGGGCTCCCCGCCTCTGCCGGGCTCCCTGGGGCGCTGCGCTGGCGGACGCGTGATGGCACCTCCGCCGGCCCCGGCCCGGCTGCCCGCGAGGGCTGGCTCCCTGCACCGCGTAGGCAGCGCGCCGTGCGCCATCGGGGACGAGTCCTCTCGCCGCTGTCATCGTCGTGCGGTCACCATGCGTGCGCGCGCCTGTGTGGGCCTCGCTCCTGGGGCGGGGGGTGGGGCTCTGGTTGTAGAACGTCCAAGGATGAGGAAGGACCGCCCTCTGTTAGTGTTTGTTTCTTCGCTGCGCCTGCGCTGAGCCCCCTCGTGCTTCCTGTACCAGAATCCCTCCCTCCCGGGACGGCGGGCGCTCTGGCTGTCCCTGGGCCTGCTGGGGGGCCCGGGGCGGCTCTTGTCCATAGTCCTCAAACGAAGCGTTGAATGTGGCTTTTCTCATTTGGAGCAAAATCAAGCCGACACTACGCTTTGGCTGCTGGGCCCCCACCTCCTGCCAGGCCCTGGTCCAGTCACAGGGAAGCCGCCGGCTGCTCCAGCCGCCGCGCACGGTCACGCAGCCGTCACCCGCTTGTTCCGTACGGCACGGGGGCCTGTCCGGGCGCTGTGTTCCAGAACAAGAACTGTTTTCCTCTGTGTGGGTGCCCATCCCGGGCTCACAGCCGTAGCTTATGATGGAAATTCTGAAAAACAAATTTTCTTGGGTTTTTATGCCATGCCTGGCAGGGGCGTGTCTGGGTGGGGGTGCGTGTCAGGCGGTGCTGCCGGCACCCACTGGGCGAGGCAGGGGCGCTCCCCACGCCCTCCCACGGCAGGACGCGCCGGCAGCCCCGTGGACGGCTGGGCCGCAGCGCGGTGCTCCTGGCCTCGTCCGGGCCTGTGCCGTTGCCGAGACGGGTCCTCAGGGGTGGGAGTGGAGCGCTCGCCGAGTGGGGGAGGCCGCCCGGCTGCGCTGCAGCGTCGGCTTTCCAAGGGCTTCGCGTCCCAGGTTGGGCGGTTTCACCCCCAAACAGCACCCGAGGGGGGCAGCGCGCAGCCGCGGGAGCGCTGCGTTTCGGTCCGGAAAGCTCACACGGTGTTGGCGTTTCAGTGCCCACGGCCGTTCCCAAGACAACCGCGGACACGCTGAAGCACAGGATCAACCCTTCGGCCGGGGAGACCGAGCCGCAGGCCGTGGACGTCCTGCTGTACACGCCAGGTACGCGGCTTCCCGGCCGGGGCTGGGGCTGGGGCTGCGGGGGCGGGGCTGGGGCTGCGGGGGCGGGGCTGGGGCTGCGGGGGCGGGGCTGGGGCTGCGGGGGCGGGCACAGCCTGGGCTCGGGCCTCTGTTCCAGCTCAGCTGAGTGGCCAGGCGGGGTGGGCGGGGTCTGGCTCTTGGGGTGAAATCCCTGCAGCCCTGTGACCTCCTGTGACCATCACCTTGCGGAGGCCAGAGCCAGGGAGCCCAGAGACGGGAGTGGGGCGGGCTCTTTGCCTAGGTCCCCTCCACAGTGGCCGTCCCCAACGTCCGTGTGGCACACACGTCCTTTTCCCGGGGGGTTCATCTGGTCCTGTTGTCCCTGTCACGAGTGCCTGCCCCTCAGAAGCTGCCGGCGCGGCTCCTGGGCTGACGGGAACGTGGGAGCGGACAGCCGCCTTGGGAGGCAGGGGAGCTGCTGCCGCCATCCAGGGGGCGACAGAGGGCGGCAGAGGGCGGCAGAGGTCGCCTGGCGTGGCAGGGTCACAGACGCCTGCGGGCGTTTCCGTCTGCCGGGGCGAGCGTGCCCCGAGGGCCGGCGCGCTGGGAGCGAAGGGACTGGGCTCCAGGCGGAATGGGCCGGCCGCGGCCGCGGAGCCCGTCCGTGGGCGTCTGCGTGAACAGTGAGCGCCGTCCACGTGCCGCCCTCTCTGTGGTCGTGACTCATGGAGCCTCCGCCTCAGACGGTGTCGGACGGGCCGACGGAGGCTCTGGGGCGAAGCCGTGTCCCGCAGGAGAAAGGGACCGGTCACACCTGTGCCACCAGACACCTGCTGGATCCAACCCCACAGACCAGGGGTGTCCCCGTCACGGCCTATGAATTACCCTGGGTTTTCAGATCTAAGTGAGTTTTCCTTCCACTTACACTGACTAGACTCTGGGCCTCTGGTCGTCGTGGGCGAGGGGACTCAGACTGGGAACTTCTCGAAAGGCTGGACACAGTGCGACAACAACCGTGAGGGACGGTGGCCACCAGGTGCGGAAGAGGTGGCAGAGGGGCTGGAAGCTGAGCGCAGCTTTGGTGAACCCTGTGCGGGAGAGGGACCAAAACAGGAGTCAGACCCATCAGGGACGGTGCGCGCCGGCGAGCCTGTCGGCGGGAGCTCAGGGCGAGGGCGGGCGCGGGCGCCGGGCCGAGGGTGCTGTCGGTGGGCAGCACCGCCCTGGAGTCGGCCGGCTGGCCCCGCAAGGACTGGCACGTGGACGCGTCCTTGAGTGCGGACAGAGGGCGGGGCTGGAGGAGGCCCGTCCCTCCCCCCCATCAGGGTGCGGGGACAGCGGGCATCGTAGAGACAGGATGAAGCCCAGCTGCTCCCCGGGCCCCACAGTCACCAGTCCCACGTGGACAGAGATCCCAGCGGAAAACCGCAGACAAACGTGCGCAAAGCCTGCGGAGCCTGGAGCGCAGCAGAGACTATGTTCCCGACCCCGTGGTAAGGAAAACACTCGGATAGCACATAAAAATCACTAGCCACCAAGGGCCGAGATCAAGGCTGGTGAATTTGACTGTGTTAACAGTTAGGATGCTAAAAAGACACCTTCCAGAGCGAAGATGGGAGTCACCGCCCCGGAAGGGACCCGCGGGGGCTGGCGCCGAGGCAGAAGGAGCGCTGCGCCCCAAGGAGAGTGGGCAGCCGCTTCGGAAGCGGGGAAGAGAGGCCCCCCCGCAGGGCGCCCGGCTGGCCGCGCGCCCCTCGCTCTTGTCACTGTGGCGGGCTCAGTGGCCGGCTCGCTCCCAGGACGCTCGCTCCCAGAGGAATGCGGTGCGCACGGCCCTGCCCTGCGGGCGCCCCGTGGCTCTCGGGCACCCAGGCCAGGCCCGAGCTCAGCACGGACGCCGTGCCCACGCATTGCAGGGTCCCCTGGGCCCACCCTCAGGCTGCTTCTCTCTTCAGGGCATCTCGACCCAGCAGAGAAAGTCGGAGACGCCCACCCCAAGTTATGGTGCGCCCTCCACCAAGGCAAAGTGGTCGTCTTTGACGCTTCGTCCTGGACCATCCACCAGCACTGCGTCAGGGTGGGCACCTCCAAGCTGGTGAGTGAAGCAGGCGCCATGCGGTGTGGGCAGGCGGCTCGGAGTTGCGGTTTTAGAAACGCGAGCGTGTCTGCCCAGCCGTCGCTGGGCGGCACCCTCCACCCAGAAGTAGGAGGGTGTCCGTTTCCACCCTGAGTTTGTGAATTAAACGTTGGCTCGTTCCAGCCTTTACTGAAACGCTTGCATTTAAGGGAGCAGATGAGGGCTTCCCCCAGCGCCTCCCAGGCTAAGCCTGGGTCTGTGGGGCTCAGCGCCGCCTCCGCTCGCCTAAAGCAGGCCCTGGGAGCTGTGCGCTTGGGAAGAAGACGAAGAACCACTTAAAGCAAATTTGCATGATACTGTAATTCTCTCTCGGCTGAGACACCTTAATTCTAGCGTTTAGACTGATTGCTTTTTAAAAATTAAATAAGTCAATTCCTACAAACCTGCCCCCTCCCTCACCCTCCACTGGCCCACTCGCCCCCGAGGACAGGTGTTGGGCCCCCGGCCGCAGACGGCAGGCCCTGGTTTTCGGAGACTCCCGGGGCCCCGCTCTGGCCTTTGAAAATCCTTCCTTCCTGTGGGTGACAAGTCCCCCACACGCGCCAGGCCCTGAGAGCGGCCCAGGGCCCGGCTGTTCCGGGCGACCCTGCTGCTTCCAGGTGGGGGGCGCGGCCGCCGCCACCCCGCGGGCGAGGGCGCAGGACCCAAGGGCAGCGCTGCATCGGAAGAGTTGTACAGCCTAAGCGCGTTAGGCCAGACGACAAAGCGGGGAGAAGTTAAGGAGATCATCCTTATTCTGAATTTAATTTTTGACTCATTCCAGTTACAAGCACTTCAAAGACTTTTTAATTGTAGAGTGACTTTTGAAGTGCTTGTTAAAATAAAGCCCACAGGCCGCCTGTTGCAGTCGTGCCTACCGCCCCCTCGCCCCCGTCAGCCCCCGCCCCCTCGCCCCTGTCAGCCCCCGTCACAGGGAGGGACGTTCAGTGAGGGCGGAGAGCCGTCCCGTGGTGAGGAAGGGCCTGCCTGCGGCTGCGCAGAGGCGTTCCGTCTCACCGCACAGGAGAGAGACCTGGGTAATCATGTTAGGGTTTCAAGTCCAAGGGAGTTTATCGAAGAGGCCTGTGGGCCACCGAAGACGATGTTTCACGGAAAGCGTCCCTATTTTCAGGTAGATGCTTCTGTCGAAAAGACAACGAGCATCTTTTTCTTTCGTGTTCCTTCACACAATTAGAACGATCAGCTTTCTATAAGGTCCCCCTTCTGAGCTGAAGCTGAGTGGCCGCTCACCCAGCACGGGCGCTGCTCTGGTCTGGCCCCGCCCCCCCCACAGCGCCCCCTTTCCACTGCGAGGACGTGAGACGTGTGTTCAGTTACCCGTCGGCTGTCGCCCGCGCCGTGGGGACCAGGAATCGGAGCTGCTCGCGGGAGCGGGTTCCGCGGCGGCCGGGCGGGAGCTGACGCGGACCTCCCGCCCCGCAGAACTGCATGGCGATGGTGGAGCAGAGCCAGGTGTGGGTCGGCTCCGAGGACTCCGTCATCTACATCATCAGCAGCCACAGCATGTCCTGCAACAAGCAGCTCACCGACCACCGCGCCAGCGTCACCGGCCTGGCGGTGCAGGGCAGGCCCGAGGCGCCCAGGTAGCCGCCCTGCGGGAGGAGGGCATCTGGGAGGACAGGGCAGGCGACGCGTACCCCCGTCTGCCGCCGGCCTCGGGTCAGAGAAGCGGGTCCCACCTGCGGGAACAACTCCGGGGCTTTCCCGCGGGTCCCCTCTGTGCCGCCCGCCCCTCGTCCCCTGACCTGGTTTCAGAGGGGCTACGTGTCCTCAGTCCAGCCGGGTCAGGTAGACAGAAGGTGCTGACGGTAAGGTCGGGGCCCCGCCCTCCCCACAGCCGCCAACCCCCGAGGCCGGGCGGACCCCTGAACCTGCGCTTGGGGAGCCGCACTCTGCAGCCCTGGCGCAGGAGGTCACAGTTTGGCTCGCGGTCCTGTTGTGGTCCAGCACCCAAAGCCGCCTTGCCTGCCCACGGGCTCCATTTTGGTGGAGGCCGCCCTCGCCGCACGGGCCGTGAGCGGGCTGCCCACGTTGCACCTGCTCCTGCGGCGGCTCTGTTCTTTTCTGGATCACAGCGCACGACCAACGAAGTGTGTGTCTGTGCCCCCAGCCAGGTATATTCGTGCAGCGTGGACGGGACGGTGCTGGTGTGGAACGCGGGAACGCTGCGGGTGACCAGCAGGTTCCAGCTGCCGGGCGGCGGGCTCTCGTCCATCAGTCTGCACGGAGGCTGCTTGTGGTGTTGTACGTCCGCCTCCGCCGGCCCGCGGACCCGCCCTGCCCCGGGAAGAGGAAGCTGCATGCATGTCCAACTCTGACTTTTAAAGCCCCCCATCTTTGGAAGCTCCAGTCCCTCGCGCTCCTCGCTTCCCTGGGCTCCCCATAGCTGCCCCGGGGCGTTGGTGCCGCAGTGGCCGGGACACTGCCTGGCCTTCCTCCTCCTGCTCCGCGTCAGCCGGGGCCCGTGGTGGGGGGCCCGGGGCCCACAGCCTCCCTGTCCCTGTCCGCCTGTCTGACCCCAAGGCTTGCGTGTGCTCTGCCCGCCCCTCACCCCCACTGCCTCCTGCAGGTACAGGCGACAGCATCACGCCCATGAACAGCCGCATCCATGAAAAGCTGACGATCGAAGGGAACTTCAGCGAGAGAAGCACCTCCTTCGTGGCCTTCCAGCTCGTCCCTGAGGTACTGCACAGCGTCCGTGTGCGCGGCCGCGGCCTGGCCGCACGCACCCGCCACACTGTGGTCTCCGTTTCAGCAGGCGCAGCTGTGGGCGGCCTGCTCGGGCTACGATGATGTCTACATCTGGGGCCTGAAGGACTTGGCCCAGCCCCCCGGGCGGGTCCACCTGCCCAACTGCTCCAAGGTCCACTGCATGATCAGGGTGAAGAGGCAGGTGAGGCGGGCCCCCCGCCCAGGGCCGCTGCCAGCCCCAGGCCTGCTGGGCAGCGCGTGCGTCGGGGCGAGCCCTCTCCCCCAGGCCCGGCCGCACGGGCCTCACCCCCCCGTTTCTCCTGCAGATCTGGGTGGGCGGCACGGGCCTGTCGCAGGGACGGCCCCAGGGGAAGATCTACGTGATCGATGCTGAGAAGCAGACGGTGGAAAAGGAGCTGGTGGCCCACGCAGACACGGTGCAGACCCTGTGCTCCGCGGAGGACAGATACGTGCTGAGCGGCTCCGGCGGGGAGGAAGGGAAGGTCGCCATCTGGACGGTGGCGTGAGCGCGGCGTGGGAGCCCGGCTCCGGGAGCGCACGCCAGGCCTGCGCCCTGCCGGGGCGGCAGCACGCCTTCTCGTGGACTCCCCCGGTTCCGCTGTGTCGGGATGGGGTTCTTCTCGGGCAGGCAGCCGGTCGACTTGGCGATACCCTCTGCTGGGAAGTCACCCGTAGGGCGTCTGGCAGTGCCAGGACCCGCCGCCAGCAGCGGAGCGGAACGGGGCGCCTTAGCCGCGTCACCCCGGACCGGGCCGCACTGCGTTCTCTCCGCGCTCACGCACTGCGCGCCGTCTGCGGCAGCCCCGCTGCCCACACCGACTTCCCGATCACAGCGGAGCCTGCCGGCTGGGGAGTCTGAAGGGATCGCCTGGAGCCCGCCCTCGCTGTCCCCCGTCAGGGCCGGTGATGGCGCTGTGAAAAAGCCATCTGCACGGGGCCGGGCGGCAAAGGCAAGCTCTTCTTTTTTACTGCAAAATTTTCATAATGAAGAAACCCAGAGAGACTCTTTGAGCCGAAGATCACAGAATCTCCCCCTAAAACAGCCCGTATCCTCCAGTTCCCCGGCCGAGCTGCTGCCACGACAGCCCCCAGCAGGAGCTGGCGCGCCCCTCAAGCGTCGGCGTCGCGTGCGCACATGGGGTGCGTGTGTACGTGCAGATGGTGCCTTCTTATTTAACTACAGGTGACCGTATTAGCTGTAAATAACCATTCAGATGGTTTGCACATTTTGCTGTAGTGGTAAAGTTTCATTCCCAGAAAGCCCAGGAAGAGACTGCTTGGCATGGTCGCTGGGCACCGGGGGCGTGTGGCTGCCGGACCCTTGGCTCCGGGCACTGGGACTCGGACACTGCACCCGCCCCGAGATCTCCGAGGTGCCAGCCAGGCCTCTCTGCGTGGTCCTCGGGACCCCAGCACTGAGGGAGGCCCTGACCCCGGCTGGCGTTTGGGGGTGCCCCGGGCCTGCGGTGCAGGCAGCGCCCAGGCGCCCTGGCGCCCTGTGTGTGCTCGCCGGCCTCTGGGACGGCTCGGCCAGCGCCAAGGGCGGGAGGCTGCGTTCCGCTTGTGTCAGCACATGATGAGTCCCGGGCAAAGCCTGTCAGAAATAAAGTATTTAACGCCAACCCCCACGTCCCCAGGCGTTTCCACCTTGTCTACGGGAAACTTCCGTGCGTCACACACGGACATGCATGCTCCTTTCCCCGCCTGAGCCGGTGCACAGACTGTGGAAGGTCATGGGGTCACTCTGGGTTGGCACCTAACAGCTGGGCGCGCATCACGTGACCTCAGTGCAGCCCCTTCATCACCTCGACACTTAGGGATAATTTCTAGGTAAAACAACACATGCAGCCTCGGCTGGGGCAGCTCCGCGGACTGAGCGCCGGCCTGGGAACCCAAGGGCCGCTGGTTCTGTGCCCACTCAGGGCACAGGCCTGGGAAGCTGGCCAGGTTCCCAGAAGGGGGCGTGTGAGAGGCAACTGCACAGCGATGTTCCTCTCCCTTCCCCTTTAACAATAAATTAAATCTCTAAAAAAATGCAGAAAATTTTAGGACATGGTCTTTTTTAGAAAAGGAAACCCAGGCCTGAGTGGGCTGCGGCAGCTGCAGGTTCTGCGTCTGCGTGCAAGGGCCGTGCGGGGGTGGGGGCCGCTGAATCGGAGGGGCACCTGCGTGCCTGGGGTGAGTCCTCTGTGCTGCGCAGAGACGCCGGGAGGAGTGACCTGTGTGGGAGAGCCCCCGCGTGAGCCGGGTCCGTGGGACCCACAGGGGTGCTGTCCCCACCTCAGCTTCAGACGCCTGAATTAAATCAGCACTAAAAGGTTTCTCTTCAGCCTGAGGCCAGTCGGCTTTAGCACAGCGGGCGGCGTCTCAGCTCTGCTGCCACACGTAAGGCCCTGGCACAGCCGCCGGAGGCCGCCTGCCTGCGCCTGCTGCCCCTCGGTAGGTGGGATCATGCTGGCCACTCTCGGGCAGCCTTGGAGTTAGATGTCACCGGGCTCCTCAGTTACAAGGGCCTGACTTGTGTCCTTCCTGGGAGGGTCCTCCGGAAGACGAGGGGCGGTTTCCCCACGTGGCAGAGCGGGCAAGGCTGGAGAGCCTGGCAGAGGTGCCCTGAAGTCCCTGCTGCCTGCACGTGCCCGTGTTCCTCACGGAGGTGCCATGGGGTCCCCAGGGGTGGGGGGAGGCCCCTTGCCTGCCTGCTGAGGCTCAGCCGCGGTGCGACTGTGAGCAGGCACAGGCCTAGGGGAAGCTCTGGGTTCCCGAGCTATGGAACACAGGCGGGCCGGGGCTGGGGCCGGCGCCAGGCAGGCGGCCTAGGGGGCACCTGGCCCCTGCACAACGGAGAGGGCTCCTCGCCGTAGGGCGGGGCGGGGACTGAGAGGATGCTGCATCCCGGCCGCGCTCTAGAATGTTGTGAGGGTATGAAGCGTGAATAGAAATGCAGCAGCTACTGGACTGAGCTGAGCGGCGGTCCCCAGACAGACATGTCTACGTCCTGACCCAACAGCTGGGCCTGTGGCCTGACTCGGAAAAAGGTTCCTTGCAGATAAAAGATCCCAGGATGAGATCCCCCTGGGTTAGGATGGGCCCTGAATGCAGTGTCCTTGGTAGCGGGGACCAGAGACAGATGGGGGGGGGGCCAGCACACGTTAGTGACACAGGTGTATGATGTCATCCAGCAATGCACGAAGGATGCGACCTTAAGGCCAGGTGGGCCTGTCCTGGGAATGCGGAGTTGGTGCAACGTGCCATCCTCATGAGCTCGAAACGAGAACTCACAAGCTCATTTCAGCAGATTCCGAAGAGCGTCTGACACAACTCAACATCCATTCGTGATAAAAGCTCCTGGCAAACTAGGAATAGACGGGAGCGTCCCCAGCGGGTCAAGGGCGGCTGCAGAGCCAGAGCAGACGCTACCCTTCGGGAGGAAAAACCAGCGCTTTTGGCCTGAGGTCTGGAGCACAGCCAACTTCTCCTTCTCACAGACGGGGACAAAATACTCACGAAGCACACAGCAGAGGAAGGACTTACCACCTTAGAGCTCAACAATAAGACCGACCGACGGACCAACTATGGAACAAGACAGAAATTAGGTTAGACATTTCACACCAGAAGATACACAGATGGCAGATAAACCCCGGTGAGCACACCCGCCAGCTAAGGAAACGCACATGAAGGCGCAGGCACGCACCGGCCCACGGATGGCTGCGGGTGGCGCGCCCGGGGCCCTGTGTGGCCGTGCGGACGCAAGACGGGGCAGCCCCGTTAGAAAACGGTCTGGCAGTTAAAACTCCTGCACTCAAACGTCCATACAGTTTTCTTCACAACCATCAAAACCCAGAAACGATCGATGTCCACCAGCTGCTGAGCGGATCCCCAAAGGATCCCGTGACAGCGTATTCAGGTCACGGGACACCAAGGAGCCGGTGACGCCCGCAGAAACGCGGGTAGATTGAAGCGCACTGGGCGTGTGGAGCCAGTCACAACACTGCACGCCGTGTGGCTCCATCTCCACGCCACTCAAGAAAGAGCAGAAACCACAGTGACACAAAGCAAATGGAAGCTGCTGTGTGGGAGCCTTTTTGGTGACCAATGTGCCGCCGTGGCGTGTGTATGGAAGTTCTCGTGGGAACGTGTGCTTCCGGGTGGGGCGGCACCCCAGCTCCACGTGGGCTCGCCTGGGGAGCAATGGCGTTGCAGCCGCGGCGTTGGCCGCGCACCCAGCACGGCTGCCAGAGCCTCCTTCTTCAAATGAGCCCCACTGCGCGTGAATAACACCTCGATCGAGTTCATTTTTAAAGCCAAAAAAAAAAAAAAATCTGAAAAACAAACCATGATGAATCCTGAATTACTTTACTGATGCTCGGGGCCGAAATTAACATGATGCCCAATCGCTGCTCACGCTGAGCTGTGCAGACGCAGTGAGTCTGGAGCCCCGGTGCCCATTGCAGGAGCCGCGCCGGGCGTTTCTGTGCTGGGCCTGTGAGGGCGCCAGCGGCCTCCCCATCCTCCAGCGCCTCCACGGGGCGCCTCCCAGCCCCTGCAGCGCTCTGCGCGTGCGTCCGGGCTCCCTCTGCGGTCCGATTCTGGCCGCTTCCCAGGACTCCTGTTGGTGGGCTCTCGGGCGAGCCCTGCTCCTGTCTTGAACACGTGTGTTTTCAGTCTTTCCTAAGGGTCTGAAATAGAACACAGTCTGTGGGTCCACACCCGCCTCCTCGTTCCTGATCGAAACACGACAGTCTCCTCTCCACGTCATTGGAAGAACCGAATCCCGTCAGGATGGGAGAGAACCTGTGTGTGGACAGCGGACAGGTGTGGCTGCGTGGGCTGGGCGCTCCCCCGCAAGGAGAAAGGCCACCCGCCCGTGAGGTCGCGGGCCACGCCTGGGTTGCAGGTCAGGTCCCCCACCGGGGCCCTGCGACAGGGAACGGACGGAGATTTTCCCTCCCTCCTTTCTCCTCTCTGGAAGGAAATAAACAAAATCTTAAAAAGAAGAGACTCCACTCATTAATTTTTCTGCCCTACGTATGTCCTAGTTGAGGTCTCTTACTGTTTGACCCAGAAAGACAAATGTAGCGGGTGCTGAATTTTTAGAAAAGATGAGAGGTAGATAGAAAGGTAGAGATAGATAAGATAAATTAACATTTATTTTCTAATAAACAAAACCAAACCTCAAAACAGAAGCCCTCTGTTCATACTTACAAGAACATAGTTGATCTATCTGTGCAAATAAGGAAAGACGACCAAATATGTTGCTGAACAAAAAGCAGATGGTAAACTTACGTTGTGTGGTTCAATCTTCGTGTTTAAAAAGCAGCTTCGGCCCTGGCCAGGCGGCTCACCGGTCGGTGTGCTGTCCGGTACGTCCGAAGGTCCGGCCAGGGCACAGGCCTGGTGTTGGGTTCAGTCCCCGGGTGGGGCGCACTCAGGGAGACAGCCGATCGAGGTCTCTCTCCCCCTTCTCTCCCTCTTTCTCCTTCCCTCCCTCCTCTCTAATAATACAAGCTTTTAAAAAACCAATAAACATACCCTCAGGCAAGGATTTGAAAACAGCTGCTCCACACTGGCCTGGGTGAGGCACACGGGGTGAGGGGCGAGGGGCGAGGGGCGAGGGGCGAAGGTGCTGGCCTCTGGTTCTCCACTGTCAGCAGCCGCCCGGGAGGGCCGCTGGGCAAAAAGCGTGCCCATGGGTCCTGGGACCAGGGCTCACAGGAGCCGCCGGGGCACCGTGGGTGGACAGCAGGGGGCGCTGCGGGCTAGTGTCAGCCTGGCTGGATGCCGCTGGTCCCCTTCTCCCCCGGTGAGCACTCTCTCCTCCCCTGCACCACAGGACAGGAACAGATAAACCCCTTGGTCCCCACAACAGGGGGGCAGGCCTGAGTTTTGCCTGCAGGGTGCCCTGGTCACAGCCCAGGGCCAGCGTTGGGAGGGTGGGGGCTGGACCTCCACGTTGCCCCCGGCCCTGCATTTTGGGCCGGTCCCTCTCCCTCCCACCTCCATCCCCCCCCCCGCGCCTGGCCCCCTCCGCGCCCACCCCCCACCCAGCCTTCACATCTACCCAGCTTCGAGACCGTGGGCAAACCCCACCCCCCAACTTCCTCTGCAGTCGACTGGGGCCGGGGGCGGGGGGCGGGGCCGGGTGAGGGGGGCGGCCACTTCCGGGGTTCGGGGGCACACACACGCTGTGCCTAGTGGCCGCTGGGCCGCTCAGGGTGTGGAGTGGGGGGAAGCGGGCCCAGCCTCTGCCCCCCTGAAGTGCTCTCCACAGGACCCCACCGCCCCCCACCAGGACGGGCCGCCAGCCCCGTGGCTGCGCCTGCTTGAGCCCCGCAAGGGCTCCTGGGGGGTGCGGCACAGCCAGCGCACAGGGCAAGGTGGCCCGCATCACCAGCCGGCTCAGCCTGAGCCCCGGCCTGAGCTGGGCGGCCGGAAGGGCTGGGGGTGTGGGCCTGGTCCCCAGCCGCCGTTTGAGAGCTGGGGGACCCTGGGGACAGACGGTGAGCTCACCCACAGACCACGGTCCCAGCCCGGGGTGCGCTGCCCTCCCCCAGTGGGAGCAGCCCCAGCTCCAGGAGGAAGGGACACAGACACACACACGCCGTCACCTGGTTGGGAAAGGTTTATTAGGGGTCCACCGGTCACAGCAGAGGACAGACACGGGACCACAGCCCACGTGCCGGTGGGTCGCTCAGAGGCGCAAGAGTGTCCCCCGCAGAGGGGGGCAGTGGGGCAGGGCCAAGCCTGGCGGCCACCCATGGGCTCAGCAAAGCCCGGGCCTCTCGCCCTCCTGTTAAAACACTTAATGTGCGACATTGCTCTCCTTTATAGTTTCTTTTCTTCATAAAAGGTCATGTGTTTAACACACACAGATATCGTTGCTAAAATCAGCAAGAGCTATTACAGTGCTCCAACTTAATAAGTTGATAAAAGGTTGTCCTGTGGCCAGTTCACAATGGAACTAAACAGTTCTGCTCTGAGATGCCTGGGTGGGGGGTTCTCTGGTAACAAGAGGCGTGTCCACCAAACGAGTCACTCCGCCACCAGGACACAAGCAGCCCTGACAGCCCTGGGGACGCAGACGCGGGGGACACAGTGGGGGCGGGCGCTCAGCTCCCTGGGCGCTCTCCTGGGGGTCCCCGTGGAGCCGCCCCTCCTGAGGATGGGGATGCAGGCCAGGTCGGGCGGGCGGGCTGGCTGGCCTCCCAAGAGATCACAGACAGGCCGGGGCCGGCCTCCCAAGGCACCGAGTGGACGCCTCGGCCGGGCCCCCCCGCCCACACCCCTGCAGCACTGAGGCAGCAGCCAGCCAGACGTGGGTGGCGCTCGCACGGCCCCATAGGAGACAGCAGGCACACCCCCCCCTCCCGCCCCAGACCTGCCGCTGCGCCCGCGCGCACCCTGCCTGCCGGCTGCCGGCGGACAGCGGCCCAGCAGCCCAGCAGCTTGGGAGGGGCTCGCTCTCCCGCGCCCTCTCTGAAGCTGGTCTGCATCGGGGGAGTTCGGTGTTTCCCCAGGGAGGCCTGGGGCGGGCTCCCTGTCACAGCGGCGTGAACCCTGGGCCGGAGGAGGGACGTTGGGTGCTGGCAGAGCAGCCTGCCAGCACCCTGGGGCCAGAGAGGAGCTGCCCTTCCGTCTGCCGACCACTCCTGCCCCCACAGCCCTCAGGGGGTGCCGCCTCGGGGTCCCGGGCCGCAGACTCCGTCTCTGCACACTGGTGACTGCAGCGGGGGCCGGAGGGCTTGGTGCCTCTGGCCGCCTGCTCGGGGCGGGGCGGAGGCTTCCGGCTGGGACACCCGGCCCTCCACAGGCTCTTCAGCCACAGGAACGTCCCGTGCCGCGAGGCCACAGCCGGGGAAAGGGCGCAGAGGCGGCCAGCACACCCCTGCATGGCTTGGGCTTCTGCCGAGAACGTGGGGCATCTCTGAAAGCTTCTCAGTTCATTTTTGGAGGGAAAAGTAAATGCGGATCAGACCGGTGTCACCGGATTTGGGTGGTGAGCCCACTGACATCACACAGCAGCCGTAACACTCCCAGGCCCTGCCCAAAGGCTCTGTACGCCGACTGCGGCCCGTGAACACCGCGGCCACTCCAGGCCGCCCCCAGCACCGGTCACCCGGCCGGCCGGCCCCCCGGGGCACTCACAGGGCATGGCCCGGCCAGTCACGTGACCAGGCCGCTGAAGAATGGTGTCCCCGCAGCGTCTGAGGTACTGGGCTGGACCCCTGCCCTGCCCCGCGTCTGCAGGCACACGGCGCAGCTGCCCACCCTTCCTCCGGCTCCTGAAGACACGGGTGACAACTCGCAGAGTTCCAAGTCGGCGCGACCCTGAAATGACCACCCCGCAGGGCCGGGGCTGAGGCGACCCACACAGCAAGACAGGCTTTGGTCAAACACCCAAAAGGCTTCAAGATCTAAAAACCCACTTGCGCGTAACGGCTCACTTGTGCTCCGAGGGGCAAACAGCAGGCCCCCTCCACCCACCGTCACCGCGGGTGGCACTGGGCATGTGGCTTCTCAGTGTCATTACTCCGTTGACAGCGACTTCCACAAAGTGTCCTCTGAGGTCTCTGTTATTCCGGATCAGGGTCAGGCTTAAGGCTGGGACGGTGAGGCTGCCCTGGGCCTGGGCGGCCGGGGCGCGTGCGTTGGGTTCACTCCAGATCTGGATTGAGGCCCCTTCTCGCCTGACCCCAAGTCCTCCGTCCCCGTTGCCAAGGGACCCTTGCTGAGGCAGGACAAACCGGCAAACAGAGGCTGCAGCGTGGACGACAGACATGTGCCCCAGAGGCCGGGGTCCGGCTGCGCTGAAGGGCCGCGGGGTGCCCACGGCGTCAGGGCTTCCCATGCAGATGGTGCGCGGCCGGCGGGCAGCTGCCTGCAGTCTCGGACCCCCGAGAGGGTCGCCTGGCTGCGGGCTGCGTCTGATGTGCACAGGCACCCAGGGCACAAGCCACCAAGTGCCACCAGCAGCTGAGACATGGCAAGACCAGAGGCTAGTCAAGTACATTAAACAGTCGTTCCTTTAAATACACAGAAAATTTCAAGTAATTTATTTCAAAACTGCTTAGTTTCATCTTGAAATATATACATATATATATATATATATATATGTATTTGCTCTAGAATGATCATATTGTGGCATGATTCTCATGCATTGGAAAGTACTTTATTTTTAAAAAAACATCAACTTGAGGCAGCGAAGTATTACAGCTGTTACTTTGGGGACGCGGGCGGCCTCCCCCTCCTGAGACTGATGGGTCCAAACGGGCGAGCAGGGGGCCGCCTGGTGCGGAGGCTGGTCCGGAAACCGCGCCCGGCGGTCAGGGCGGAGGCGCCTGTGCTCCACGAAGTCCTGGAGGCTTCTGCGCTGCCGCCGCCAGCAACGCTGCGCCAGGCCGTCCGGCACGGGACCCCCATCTGTCCAGACACGTTCCTCACTGTGCGACCTTTGCGATTCCAGTGTCCAGCGGGGTCCAGGTGAAGAGGTCAGAGGGTTCAGCAGTGTCCAGCATGGTCGCCAGGGCTGGAAGCAGGCCTAGGGAGGGGCCGCCGCAGTGCCGCCAGGCACCGTTTCCCAGCAGGCGGTCGAAATATGAATCAAAGTGCAATGCGAGGCGGCCGTGCCCCCAGGAGTGAGCCTGCAGGCTCAGCTGGCGCCGCCCTGGTGGGTGGGGATGGGGCGACCCTCACAGGCCACCCTGCTCCACCCACGCGGGGCCTGGGCCCCGCCCCTTCCCAGCTTTGGAGCTTGGCTGCCACCATGCCTGCTGCCCAGGGGCGGGCACAATCTGTTAGCCTGAAAAAAGAGTTTTGGGAAAAAAAATTTTTTCTAAAATAATCGTAAAGAAAAATACTCTCCCAAAGCTGCAGCACCAACAAAATGTGGCGAAATCTGACAGATGTCCTGATACCTGCAGACGTCCACAGAGAGAATCTGGTGAGGATGTTTCGGTCACTGACCACATGACCGTTATCTGAAAGATCAGATAAGATGCAGCAGAGGACATCAAATATTTCCTGTTTTCAATTATACTTTAGAAAAAAATCTTATCTTTTCCTAAATTGCTTATGGTCTAGATTGTAAATCTGGTTTACAATTTAAAAACATGCAGAATAATATACTTGCAGAATCAAAGCTGAAATCAAAAGGTCTTTTTCCATTTAAAAAAAAACTTCAAATGATTTTTAATTGTGGAAAAAGTGAATCGGAGTGGTATTTCCGCCTACTGGCTCAAACCTACCCTACAACTGACACTGCTCCGTCTGAGGAGGTCAGGTCGGCGCGGCCCCCGAAGGGGCAGCCCCCGCCGGCCCTGCCCGGCGGCCCGCGTGTGCCCAGGAGCTCGACTCAGACCACGGACTCCGTCTCCACGGGCCCCTGCGGGCGCTCCTTCCGGGTCAGCCTCAGCACGGTGGGCTTCTCACCGCTGCCTTCGCCCCCGGGCTGGGCAGACAGGCCTTTCTGCTCCTCCTTGGCCTCGTCCGACACCTCTGGGTAGATGACCAAGAACGTGGCCGTCAGGAAGCCCAGGAAAGAGCCCACGGAGGCCACAATGGGGATGACACGCACAGTGCCCACGGCGTCGACCACGCTCCCGAGGGCAGAGGCCACCAGGATCTGGGAGATGTAGACCTGGCAGGAGAGGATGGCGCAGTCGATGCCAAAGCCGCGCCTGGAGTTCCCGGGGCTGTGCTGAACGTACTGCAAGAGAGAGCGCAGGTGAGGGCCGGGCTCCGCACCCACAGCACGCCTCCGGCCTGGGGTGAGCGCGGGCTCTGGAAACGGAAACGCGCCTCTCACTCAGCGGCTAGGCAGCCACTGAAACCGAAAGGTCGCTGGTTCGATTCCCAGTCGGAGCACATGCCTGGGTTGCAGGCCAGGTCTTGGGGGCGGGGGTGCGAGAGGCAGCTAGTAGACCCTTTCCCTCGCACGTCAGTGTTTCTCTTCGTGAGACAGGGTGAAATCTGCCCTGTGGTCTGTGACAAAGTGCCCGTCACAGAATCAGGTGGCTATCAGATGTGGGAAAACTGTCAAGTCACACTCCTCTGCCTCAGGCCACTCACGCAGGGCCTATCCCAGAAAGGTGCAGGCAAGAGGGGACGCGCAGGGGACCCAGGCACGCCGTCCCCCGCAGCAGGAGTTGGGGGAGGCTGCGTGGAAGGACCCTGAGCGCGGGGCCGGGCAGCACGGTCTGTGCCTGAGAGAAGACCCACCACAGCAGGCCCGGGGTGACCATGGGCACAGGTGAGCGCGGGTCAGGCCACAATAGGACTGACGCCTCGCACGTGACGCTGGGCACCGGGCCTGTGTTGGTTTTACAAGTGTGCTCGCCCTCCCGGAAGCCCACCGAGTGGCCAAGCCTAACCCACCGAGGGTTAGGTAGGAAGCGAGAGACGGGCGCTGGCTGTGTGGCGACCCTCCCCTCGGAAGGGTCCGAGTGACCTGCACAGAGGGCCACCGCACCTGCACCGAGCCCTGGAACGCGGCTTGTCTGAGCTGAGGCTGCAGAGCGCAATCGGCACTGAATTCCAAGGACCCGGTGAGGATGCAGAGAGTATCTCGATTGTGTTTATCGGATACATGGTGAAATATAATGATGTTTTAGATGCACTGGGTTAAATACGCCACTACTACAGTTGGCATTGCCTATCCTTCCACTTCCTAAACGTGGCTGCTGGAAGTGCGGACCGACCAAGGCCCACAGCCGGTGGCCGCCGGAGCACAGCGCGGTGGCCAGGGAGCCCGGGCCCGCCCAGAGCTGAAGCCCCAGGGATGCCCATGCCGGCCCAGGGGCGGTGCGTCCCCTCTGGCGCCCCCGCCCCGCCCCGCCCGGCCGAGCCACGGATGCACCCACCTCCCGGCTGTCGTGGTACTGCCCGAGCAGCGCGTAGGGGCAGTAGGAGATGCTCATGGACACGACCCCCATGGTGCTGATCATGGCCATGGCCACGTAGACGTTGGCGAACATGGCCATCACGGCCGTGCCGACGGAGAAGCCCAGCGTCCCCAGCACGTAGATGACCCTGATGCTCAGGTCGTAGTTGTCCAGGTACTTCTGTAGCAAGGCTGCAGAGAGAGAGTGGCCACAGGCGGTGACTGGCGGGCACGGGCTGCGGGCCGCCTGCTCACCTGGCCCCAGCCCCGCACTCAGCCCACTCGGGGGCAGGCACACCCCCCCCCGCCTCACCCCCTCATGCCACTGCCCACGCTGCAAAGCGCGCACCCTGTGTCCAGGGCCACCAGCGCCCTCCATCCTGGGGGCCTCGCAAGCCCCCCAGGGCCTCCCTGCCCGCCAGCACCCCGGCCCGGGCCCGCCCTGGCGGCCTTCTCCGACCCCCCGCCCGGTCCTGCCTCGGGGACTCGGGCTGCTGCTCCTGCTGCTCCTGCTGCCCTGGACAGACAGACCCTGCTCGCCCTGCCTGACCCAGCAGCTGAATGTCGCGTCCTCCAGGAGGCGCCTGGGCCCTGAGAACTCCTGTCCAAGCACTAACAGCAGCGTGACCGTGTGCTGGCTGCCGGGGGCTTTGTGCCATTACCCTCGGCCGTCCTCCCATCTTGGCTGGGCCACCAGGAGGCTGGCCGCCGCCACCTCGGTCCGTGCAGAGAACGGACAGGCAGGCCCTGACCGCGATCACGCCCCACTGCCAGAAGGTGAGCCCTGGCACGTGGCCCCCAGGATGGCGCCTGTCACCCTAAGCCCCGTCCCTCCAGGATGAAGCCGTGTCTCCAGGGCAAGGCCTCTTCCGCAACGCGGGCTCGCCTGCCGCCCCAGGACCATCAGCAGACGCCAACCACGCTGCGCCCGCCCCGGGCCTGCCGCCCCTCCCTGCCGTCCGCCTGCCCGAGGCGCCACGGCCCCTCCGGGTGCAGGGGCTCAGCTCCCACATTCCGGCCACGACCTGGGCCCAGCCTCGGCCAAAGGGCCCCCGAGGGTCCCCTGCAGGGGCCGGCGCGCAGCACAGGCCACAGTGGGGTCTCAGGATGCCCAGTTCTGGTGTCAGTGGCCTCCCTTGAGAGGAGGACACAGGAGTTTCCACGCCCCTGCCAGAGAGACAGGTGGCCTTGTTCAGTTGAAGGCAGAGCCCCTTCTAGGAGGCAGGACGCCTCCGCCACATTTCTGCCCCCAGGGCATCTTCCGGGCTGCCAGGGGGGCCACTCACCTGAGCAGATTGCGCCAGTAGCTGCATAAATGACCAGGCCCCAGCAGCCCATCTTCACGCCTGCGTTGTAGGCCTGCCAGGCGGTCGAGTTGGAGGGAGCCTGTTCCAGAAACGAGACCACGTTCAGGGCCAGGGACCACACCCTCTCGTGCGGCAGACTGTTTACTTCAGAGAGGCTGAGAGCGCACCGGAAGGACAGGGCTCAGCCCGCCCAGGTCAGCCCTGAGCGGGGCCGGCGGCCTTCCCAGCCTCGCCGCCGCTCCCAGGCTGGCCGCCCTGACTGGCAGCTCCTGCCTCGGCCTCCTCGAAGCCCCGCGGCCACGCGGGGCGGTTCTACAGGCCCCGAGGCCGAGAGACGAGTGGAGGGTGAGGCCGTCCCAGCTGGACCCAGGGGGACGCAGCCCCAGGCGTGAGCCAGTGGACACGCGGGACAGGAGCCGGGTCAGCTGAGCCCGCCCACCAGCAGTAACGGGGGGCTACCTAAGACACTATGTTGGGGACCATCTGGTAGGCGGCCGTGGGGAGTGGGAGCCGTGGCCCCCTTCAGGCTTCTCAAGCGCCCGCCCTGTGACAGCCCCTGGCGCCTGACAGCTGCCCGGGTACCGGGTGTCAACGGCCTCCCAGGTTCGCGCGAGGGCCTGACATGTTACCGGGCGCACGCTCGCCGGCCGCCCACGGAGACCCATCCGCCCTGCGTCACGTGGCGCTGGGGCCTCCCTGATGCCGGGGTCCCGGCCCACCCCGCCCTCCTGGCTCACCTTGGGGTCGCCCTCGAAGATGACCTGGCCCATGAAGTCGGTGTAGAAGACAGCCTCGGCGATGACGGAGAACCAGGTGAGCAGGTGACAGAGGCACAGCCGCATCAGCTCGCGGGGCATCTTCAGCATGGACAGCCACAGCAGCCGCACGGTGGTCTCCCCCTCGCCCTCCTCGCTCTCCGTGTCCCCGCTGGACGTGGTGGCCCCGCTCTGGTTGCGGTGCCGGCTCCGCTGCCGCTGCCGCTTCTGCAGGTCGTACAGGTCGCTCATGCTGCGCGAGGGCTTGATCAGGACCACGGCGTTGGCGCGCCGGTAGCGGTAGCGGTGGGAGCCGATCTTGCCGTAGTAAGAGAAGGTGCTGGAGGCCTGGCGGTGGAACGCGTGCCTGCGCCGCCGCATGGCACTGGACGTGGCCGAGGGCTTCAGGGCCACCCTGGGGCAGCCGTGCGGGCCATCCTTCAGGAGCGAGCCGCTGCCGCTGCCGTTGGGGACCTGGGTGTTGTTCACGTGATTGCCCAGCAGCGTGGCACCCTCTTGGGCGGTGTCCCTGAGCAGGGAGGGCAGGCGGGGCAGCCTGGCCATGGCCAGGTCCTGGCTGGTGCTGTGGGGCGTGCCGGGGCCGGAGGTGTCGTGGAAGATGGAGGGCTCGATGTCGTGCAGGAAGAGCAGCTCGGGCTCCAGGTCCAGCGCGGCGTCCGGCACGTGCAGCACCGAGTCGCTCTTGCTGCGCACCAGGTCCACGTCCAGGAAGTCCAGGGGCAGCTCGTGCTCGGACTGCACCTCATCGGGGAGCAGGGCGCCGCCGTCCAGGAGGCTGGGGTGGGCGGCAGGGGGCGGGGGGGCCCCCGCGCTGCGCTCCTGCTGGGGGCTGTACTGCCCCTCCTCGATGCTGCACAGGTGCAGGGCCACCGACACCGTGAAGATGACGGCCGCGAAGAAGAACAGCACCTGGTTCTGCGTCCGGAACCAGGAGCCCAGGAAGGTCTGCGTCCAGTCCAGCCCGCCCAGCACGTAGCCAACGGCCCCTCCGAGGCCTGAGCGTGTGGGAGGGGACAAGCAGCCAGTGAGCGGCTGGCGCCTCGCGCCCTCCCCACCCCCGGCAGGCAGGCCAGGACAGGCCTGCAAAGGCTCTCCGTCTCAGTGGGGCGGGGGCCGCCACCCCCCAGTCACGTCGCGAGCCAGGACACTCACGGTCGGAAGGGAGAGTGAGAAAACGCTAGGAAAGACGGAACCAGACACTCCAGCCGACCCTGGGCTCAGAACTCGGACTGAACAGATTCCTGCTTAATAAGCGAGGACACAAGCAGGTGCCCCCGGGGCTCCCCTTGGCACGAGCCGCCAGCGCGGGTGCAGGGAGCGGTCAGCACGCCGCGCGAGGGCACCGGGCCAGTGCACCCCCAGCCCAGCACTGGAGCTGCCGGGCCTGCCGGGTTGGGGTCCTGGCTCCCTGTCTAGACCGCTGGCGCCTGGCACGCAGGTGCGCCTGGATGCGGGGTGCCGGCCTCGGGAGCAGCCACCCGCCCTGTCTGGTGAGCGGCGGGGCGAGTGGGGGGCACTCTCACCGGCAGAGAAGGCGTGGATGTTGAGGGCCATGTCCTGCTCCTCGCTGTCCACCACGTCCAGCAGGTAGGCACGGATGGGTCCCTCGGTCGCATCAGCACTGAAATCCAGGACCACTACCCCCAGCACCGTGAGGACAATGCCAATGGGCTGCCGGTTGGGGACATCGCCGAGGATCAGACCTGAGTGGGCAGTGGAGGAGTGTCGTCAGATGCCAGCTCCCAAGAGCTGACAGCCACCTCCATGTGGAGGGCCAGGCTCTGGCCCCAGCCGGAAGGGGCGTGTGCCCCAGCCCCAAGCGAGGGCCTCTGCCCCCCACGTCTGCATCCACCGCGGGGTGCCTTCCTCCCACTCAGTGAAGCTCATGGAGCTCGCTCACCATCAGGCTGTGTAACTAAAAAGGGGAAAAGAGTCCTTCCTCCCAGGCTTCTCTGGGGGGTGGGGTCCCTATAGCAAGAAAGGGGCGTGTGTGGCACTCACGGTCACCGGGAACACCCACAGGCATACGCTGCGCGTGGGGCCCGCCGTCAGCGCCCCGCCGGGGCCTCTCACAGCAGCGCGTGCACCCGCCCGGCCCAGAGCCCGCGGGGACAGCCCTCGGTGCTCACTGAGGGCACAGGCGACAGGAGGCCAGGGCTCTGGGCCTGTGATCGAGGGGCCGGTGGCTGGAGGGGCTGCCCTGCGGGAGGGGTCTGGTTCAGGGAGGGGCGCAGGCCCGGGGTGCCTTCCTGCCCATCCCTTCCCACCCGAGGTGCACAGGCCTCTCGTGGCCCCGGGGAAGCGGGACGAGGCCTCGCGATACCACGCAGCTCCCGTGGCCTCGGCCTTGGCGCTGGGCATCTCTGAGTCTGACCGCCCCGGGCAGGCAGACGTGGGGGCGAAGCTCACGTGTCTGAAACACAGCCTGTCTCAGAACACAGACTCGGCCTCTGTCTTAACAAGTCGCTGCCAGAAAACAATGTTTTGTTTTCAACGGTTTTAACGGGGGCCCTCAGGGCATAAACTATTTTCCCACATACAGTTGCTTTTATTAAAAACAAAACAAAACGAAACAAAACAAAACGAACCAACCGTGAGTACACAAAACAACAAAACAAGGAGTGAACTAAGTCTGGACATTTTCAATACCAAGTCTACGGGAAAAAAAAAAGGAAAAGATAATTTCTGAAATAATGCTGGAAACAGGACATGGTGTCAGATACGCATTAAAAACAAACGGGTCACAACAGGAAGCGCTTCCCTGTGAACAGGTTCCTGGGGCTTTCCCACAGGGGCCCGGCTGTGGGGCTGCCAAGTGCGCCCACGGCGAGGCCACCGCCCGGCCGGCCACTGGGAACGACCCAACGCTACACAGACCTCATCGGGCAAGACCGTCCCGGCCTGTGACCACCCCCCGCCCGGCCGCACGCGCTTCAGGGTGCTCGGAGAGACGCGCGCACTCACCGAGGGCAGAGCCGTTGAGGAAGAGGGCCACCCCGAAGAGCACGCCCACGCAGAGGGCGAGGATGAACGGCCGCCGGCGGCCCCAGCTCAGGGTGCACCGGTCACTCGCAGAGCCGATGAGGGGCGTGAAGATGAGGCCGAGGATGGGACTCAGGAACCAGGTGAGACTGTAGTACTGCTCCGGAAGGCCTGCGACAGACACGGCGTCACCCCTGCGGGCACCGCACGCCCCAGGCGCGCCAGCCCGCTCGGCCTGCGGCCCCTGCTCAAGCAGCAGGGGCCGGGGTGTGCTGGGGGTCCAACACTCCCCGACGGCTGGAAGCCCGTCGGGACAGAAGGTCCTCCCTGCGCGTCTGGGCAATTTGAAATCGACCGGAAGCCCTGGTGCCCACTGACGGTGGGGCGGGGGAGCGGATGCTCAGGGAGGCCAGGCATCCTGGCCCCGGGCCCTGCAGGGAAGAGCTGGGGACGCCGGGGCTGTCCAACTCCAGAGCCTACGCTGCGCCCAGCCCCACGCCGGCGCCCTGGTGCCTTCGTCACCCGCTGAAGCACCACTCGGCCGCTGAAACTAGCAAGCCACAGCTTCCTCCGCTCGAGGGCCGCATCTCAGGCACAGTGGGCAGAGAAGAGCGTACACACCAGGCTCCGTGTATGACACACAAAGTGGCCAGGAGGGCCCCTGCTGGCAGAAGCCAGGGCGCTCTGGGCTGCCTTGTTCCATCCTCAACCTGGGATGGGGCCCTAGTGACAGCCCAGCCAGCTGGAGACTTCGTCCTGGTACCCGTGTCCCCCTTCAGCAGACGGCTGACTTGGAGGACGGAGGGCGCTCTACACCAGAGCTCCCGGTTGCCGTCTCTCCCGCCAAGGGCCCCGCGAGATGGAGCACTGTGCCGCGTGGCCGAGGCAGCAGTGTTGGAGGGGAGGCCGCGTTCAGGGGAGGGCAGGCGCACCTGTTGGAATCACCGACATGCCCGGGGAAACATCTGTGCGTCCCGTCTGGAAGCTGAGCTGCCGCCAGCCGGCCGCGTGCCGAGGCTGGGTCACCGCCAGGGCGCCCCGGGGGCCGGGAGGCACAAGCATGCCGAGTGGGCCCCGCCAAGCAGCGCCGGTTCACACGGCAGCGGGGCTCCCCCCTTTGGTCACCACCAGACAGCAGGAGCGGCAGCAGCTCTGCTGGCCGCGCCGGCCCAGCCCACACCCGGCCAGGAGCACCATCGGGTCCGAGCGCCGCGTTTCTCACAGGTGACTACATAGCCCAAGTTTCAGGAGGAACAGAGACTCCTACCTTTGTGGGGATTTTCCACGTGACACCCTTACTAAGGGATGCTGATGAGCCTGGACAGAGGTGGCTCCTGCTGCGCTGTGATGGGGGTGGCCCGCGGCAGCTCCGGCCAGGCCTGCTTCTCCCCTCCGGTCCCAGCCTTCCTGCCGCAGGCCCAGCCAGGCACTACAGCGGCCGGGCGGGGCGTCGAGGCCTCAGTGCCTGGTCGTGCCTAGAGAACTGTGTCTGCAGTGCTCCCAGCTCACCTGCACAGCCTGAAAGCGCCCAGGAGGCTCTGCGTCCCAGGCAGTAACCGATGCCTGACCACAATGTGCAAAACGCCACTCACGGCCCTGGGTGCCTGGTGCGACGCGGCCCTGCGCCCACCCCTCCCAGCTCCCAGCCCACCTCGCCCCGTGCCGACTGCCACGGGACATGCCGGGCTCTGGCCGATGCAAAGTTGGCACCCTTCCCCAGTATGTGCTAGGACACGAACACGCATGGACTGGCTGGCCGTGCCAGAGGAAAGAAGAAAGGCATCCCCCCCGAAGGCACCCCTGGAAACCACGGCGCCTTGCCCCCTGGGAGAGGCGGCTGGGCATGGACGCCCGGCTCGGCCGCGGGACGGCATCCCGTGGGACAGGCGCCCAGGACGCGCCCAGTGGGGTCCTCGTGCCGGGCTGCGCTGAAGGCCTGGAGGCCGTGGGGCAACGCGGCCCGGGAAGCGGTGCCTGTGCCTGTGCCTGTGCCTGTGCCTGTGCCTGTGCCTCTGGGAGCACGCGTGGCCCCAGGAGCTCCTGCAGCGTGGGAGCCGGGACGCCGGCTCGCAGGCAGGAGCTGCGCCGCACACGCCCTCGCGGCGGCCCTGACATCTGGGCGGCTCATCCAGGGCGCATGCCCGCCCGCCCCACGGCTTCTGCGGGAGCCGCTCCCCGTGTTAATTTGCGACAGGCAGCAGGAGCGCAGGGCCCATGTGGAGGCTGCCGGGGAGCCCGTGTGCTAGGCACGTCCCCCTGCTGAGGAGAGACCCACAAAGACCCAGGGCCTGTTAGGCCGCAGACAGCGGGGAGGCCCAGGAGGGGCAAATGGGACCTGCGGTAGCTTCTGTCTCTCTCTCCTTCCCAGCTCTTCTGAAAGCAAATTCAAGGCTGCAGAGAAGCTGCAGCCACCAGGAAGGGGTCTGCGCCGAGCCAGGTGGTCACAGGAACAGGACCTGCTGCGGCAACGGCCTGGCCCCACGCGGCGCCCACGGCGGGGAACAGCACAGGGACCCTGGGCCACAGCTTTCTTTGTTTAAGCACTTTGGCAAGAAAAAGAGCCATTTCCCATCACGTCCCCAACACCGCCGAGCTGCGAGCAAGCCCGTCTGGACGCCCCCGGGCAGTGAGAACAGGCCCGTCCCTGGCGCGGCGGCTGTGGGGACGCCGTGGGCACAGCATTTCCCAGGCTCTAAACAAACACCACGGGGACGTAGTAAATAATTTTTGTTTTCTTCCAGGCAAGAGCCGAGCAACAATGGTGGGACCAGGAAGGCTCCCGCTCACAGGAAGTGCTCAGTGTGTCACCGCTTGTCCAAGGGCTGTTGAGGTCATGGCGACGGCGGCCACGCTTGGTCACGCGCAGTGGCCTCCATTCAATGGGGCGCCTTTACTGATAAACTGTACTTCTGGGAGGAGGGGGACGGAAGGTCGCCGGTGGGGTTTAACAAAGGCCTGTGGTGGAAATAGGAACTCCACTCTTTCTTGCAGGAGACAAAGCCTTCCGTTGGGATGCGCCGTGTGCTCAGACCAAGGCTCAGGGCGCCGCGCTCCTGAGAGCTCGCTCTCTGCGGGACGCGCTCCCGGTGGCCCAGTGAGGGACTCAGGTCACCGAACCCCCGCGGGGAACCCCACGCTGAGGGGCCCCATTGAGAACGGATGTGACAAAGACACAGTCCCTGCCCTCCGGACATGCGCAGGTCCCAAGGCAGGGGACAGGGGCTGGTGGCCGCCAGCTCAGGTGCCAGGGCCCGGGAAAGGCCCCTGGGCGGGGTGGTCGTCTGCACCAGGCCGAGGGGCAGACGACTTCCCCAAGGGAGGTGGTCGCGGAGCCGTGGGAAGCAGGAGGAGGGGCGAAGGGCAGGGGGCACGGGTGCCTTTTCTGGGGCTGCGCGTGGACGGCAACCCCTGGCCGCTTGCGGGGAGGAGGAGCAGGGCCTGCTGGTGCGCGAGGCCGGGAGCTGCGGGAGCCCGCGCTGGCCGAGGGGTGAGCGACTCAGCCTGGGCACCCAGTCGTGCTCCCAGGGGTTAGCAGTCGCCGCTGGGAGGAAGAGGAAGAGTAGGAGCAGCCAGGAGGGCGGGCGCCCTTGGTGTCCAGGGAAAGGCACAGCCAGCGCCATCTGCCGCTGTGGCCCCATTTGCCGAGCAGGCCTGTGACCCTGTTAAGCGTGACTGCCATTTTACCCTTCCGACCTTGTGTTCCCAGGACTGGAAATGACTGGGAAGCAAGGACAGAACCAACTGCTCCCCGCAGCCACCGTGGAAGCTAACGCTGGCACCAGCTGCGGCCGGGGCCGGGGCCACGCCACAGCGAGCGCCCAGCCTTTCGATCCAACTACGATCCACTAAGAGCTCAGGGCCCTGCCCCCCTCCTCTCCTGGGGAGGGAATGAAAACTCTGCTCTCTGCACTTCTCTGTGAGCCTGTCACAGCCCCTGTCACCAACCAGCCGGAACAGCAGGGACACAGGGACACGGGGACACAGGCGCTGAGCGGAGAGTTTTGCAAACCACCAGGTCCACCCATTCCGCGCCCCCTGGGGTGGCCTGTTGGGGGAGAATGAGTCACTGGGTGGAGGGAGCAGTTGGGAACGGCACCAGTTAGGAACGGCACCATCAAACCTACTGTGGGCTCCATGGACAAACTCCGGTGGACTCTGATGGTCTTTCTCCCGGTGAAAGCGCCCTCCCTCCGTGAGGCCGGCCTCAGGCCGGGCTTGACCTCCAGGGAGTAACCGCCCAGCCACTGCCAGCCCCGCACCGGCCTTCCTGACAGCGTGGAGACGGGCTTTCTGGCCCTACTTAGATGCAAAACTGCAGCTGGGCGCGCTGGCCAGAATCAAGCGGGACCCTGACCTGCTGGAAAGCCAGGGGCGTGCCCTCCTGCTCCTGGGGCGCCTGGCTCCAAACAACCCACACAGCGCACGGCCCCGGGAGGGCGCAGGGCAGAGCCCGAGGCTTTCCCATCTCGGACGCTCAGCTCGGCCCGTGCCCTCAGCTCCCGCTGGCGCTTCGCGGACACGCTTTCCCGCCTTCCTGAAGGACGGTCCTCAGTCACGTTCCTAGGGCTGAAGGGCACCCAGAACAGGCCTCGCAGGGTCACCTGTGATAACAAGAGGCGGCCAGAGATGTGCCACAGGCGTGAGCGGACAGAGCAGTGGTACAGCTGTGACCCCGGGTGGGGAAGGCCAGCTCTTGACCTGGGGAGGGCCGGCAAGACCAGAGCGGGGAGCACGGTGGTGAGAGAGGAAGGTCGGCGCCGGCACCGAGGCCCAGCGGGGCCCCCAGGCCGCGGCCGGGTAAGGCAGCTCCCGAGGTCACACAAGCACAGGAGCGTGGCCAGGGCACTGCGCCACCTCCCACCCTGTCACAGTGCTCAGGGCCCGAGACGGCCGAGTCGGGCCTCAGACCCAGTGACCCAGGGAGGCCACACCCCGGCCCAGCCCTGGCCCTCCCTCCCGGCTGGCGCGACGGGCCATCCTGTCTGGCTACGTGTGCCGCTCCTCTGAACGCTGATCTGCCCTGGGGCCGGCAGCTGTGCCACCATCTGTGGCGCCCCAGTGCCGGGACGCCCCGCCTCCGGGTGAGGGTGGAAGGCCTGGGCTTGGAGCCACCGATGGCCCGGGCTGGGTGCCCCTGGGCCTGAGCCTCACCCCCGCAGCCCCGATGCCGA